TTAAACATTTTCTTCCACTTTGGATAATAAAAGCCTGGAAATCCATACATAGGACCATGTGCCTGCACACGAACATGAATACATAGATAAATAACAGGAACTACAAATGTATGGAAAACTAATGAAATGCGGGCAACAAGGTGCACTTACACATTTTTCAAAGCTGTTACATGTGAACTTAGACTAAGTAAGTTACATTTAATTACCATAGAAACCATCTGGGATAGTTAGTCAGGACGCAATGCCCATTGATGTTAATGGAAGGTAAGTTCAAATAACATAAGTTTGGATCCAATCCAGTATGCTGTCCTTTTCTCCTCTTTTGCTCCACTTTCGACACAAAGGTCTCGGAATGAAAATAAAAACAATGCAACATTTCAAACCTGTACTTAGAGCAATTGTCTATGCCCATTGTCAAGACATTTTGGGATGTAAAACTCTCCATGTCTTACTAGCTCTCCTTGGTGTTTCTGTTCATTAAATAAGACAAAGAACACAGCATGAATTGCTTGGGATAATCAGTAACATAGACTTAAGGACATCAATCTGCAGTGCTCTAGGAGAGCAGACTGTGCCCACAAATGAGTTTTAGAGGAAGTCTTTTCAGTCTGTCAATGGGAGCTGCTTCATATTGTCTTTATGGAAGGTCACATTGCTGGTCAGCCTCCCTCTGTGCTGAAGAAATTCCTCTACAGATCCTCTGAACAGTCCTTGCATGATATATCAGGCCCTAGTGTGAGGGGTCAGGGCATTTACAAGATCTCCTGTGGTTTCAGAGAGGTGACCAGAATACAGATTCTTGGCCCTCTGGGCTGAAAAAAGAAAGGCACTAATTCTGAGGAGAATACAAACCAGAAAGCATATCTAATTGATTGAGAGGGCTTTGACTGCTCTGTGTAAACAGTGTTTTCCACAATGTAGATCTTTTACTAATTAAGCATCTTGAGGAATGAGTTAATCAACAAACAAGTGCCAAGAGCCATCAATGTTCAACGATCAATAAAAGCTGCAGATACCAAAAACCACAGAGAAGTCTGAGATGGGTGAACTTTGGGTTCAGATTGTCAAAATAAAGGATCTAAAGCTGGCTTCCAAAGTCCACATTTAGCTGCAAAAATTAATGGCCTGGTTTTTCTAAAGCATCTTACATCGTGAAACTATTGCCTGAGAACTACTGGATGCTAAATGTATGAAACATGAGGTTGCTTGCCAAGTGCCTAAGTTAGGAATTCTAAGACTGTGGCTACAGAACATTGGATGTTCGGTCAGAATCAACAACATTGGGAGCTGAAGACCAACCTCTTAGCTGAATATTTTTAAGGGTGCGTTTGGAGTACGACCCTCCCCATTGTACATTAATATTTGCAGTCTTGTGTATGGTGGATTCAAATCCATGATGGATTCAAATCTTTACTGTGAAGAGGATTTGATTTTGATACCAATTATTAAATAAATTTTCTATTCCATAATTTATTCAAGGAGTTCAGTATAGTGTATGTAGTTCTCCCTTCTCTCATGTTATCCTCACAACAACCCATGAGTTAGATTAGGCAGAGAGAGTGACTGGTCCATGGCCAACCAGTGAGCTTCGAGGCAGAGTGGGGAATTGAACCTCCAGTCCAACTGGCTCTTATTTCTGATTATCCTGGCAGATAGTCCAAATCCACATATATTGCACTGCTTGGTGACTACTTGCAATCTAAATCACCCTAAACCATGTATCTGTACAATCTAGTGCAGTATTGTCTACTTTGACTGGTAGTGACTCTCCATGGTTTCAGGCAAGATCCCCCCCCAGCCCTACCTGGAGCTGCTGCCAGGGATTGGGACCTTCTGCATGCAAAGCCAATGTTCTCCCACTGGGCTTTGGCCTTTCCCTCAAGCTTTTGCTCAAATGCTGGAAGGTACACCAAACTCAGGCAAAACAGCAGCCCTTAAAACAGGCTGGTTTGAAGCTTCACAAGGCATTGCATCTTAAAGAGATGAGAAGGCAAGGCTATCAGGAACATAGGAAGAGTGACACATGATGACTTGGTACTACAATGGTTCTTCCAACACAGTGCAGCCACCAACATAACCTTCAGTTCAGAGTGCATGGATTGTATGCATACAACTGTCCAAGTGCCTAGTGCAGATTGCCTGAGTCTACATCAGCAACATGTCTGATGTGTAAACAACCTAGTATGGAGTAAAAATGCAGCCTCAGCTCTAGCTAGTTAAAAAATCAGCATCCTCTTTCCTTTTTTTCAAATTTCCATTTATAGCTTTATAATGAACTCTGAGGTTTGAACAATGCGCTTTAACTGCAACTTGAATCTTGATTAATAACGTATTTCCTTGTCATGAAGAAATTCTCAGTGTTGACAAATTGGCTCAAATAATTTGTTTCCTTAACAGGGCTGATGTTGATGAGTTCACAATACTTTTCCTTATTTTATTTATTTATTTATTCAATTTTAAAGAACACTTACAGGGAAGCAGCTTTATAAATTGCACACCAGTAAATATAACCATCTAAGTCTGGCACATCATCAAGAGCCTATATTTTTAACTTCTTTTGGTAACATCAACAAAGAGCGAGACTGCAGCAGCCGGATGTTTTGTAACTCTGCTGTACTACCTAATAGTGTTGATGCAGATTTTATGCCACTTAGCTTTGCAGGTGTCAAGAGCATACCACTAATTGGACACTGGACAACGATTGGGAATGGTCTGGTTTTTATACGATGAACAGTCACTGACCGATTTTATGTTTAGGTCATTGAAATGCACTAACATCAGCAACAAAGGACAAGAAAATTGAAGGGTCTCCTTGGATTCCTCCAAACAACCTGCTTATTGAGCTCTCACCCTGATCTGCTTACACAAAACTTGTATGGAGGTTAGCCTATGCCTCGTCTTTCTTGAACATTTGTTCCAATTTGTTTGTGGGGATGGCCTAACCTGGTGCCTGGACAATGAGAATTCATCCTGATTTGCTTGTGTGGTAGTTATACATCTTCCTGTTAATAATTTGTTCATTCCATACTTCTCAGTGCATTTCTCCTACACTTTTTTCCATTTTGGAAAAAAGTGAATTTGTTGCACCACAGCAGCAGAGCACATTAATTTATTTCAATTGCCAAACCTATCTTTCTTGTATGTGCCTGAATCCCTCCAGAAAAATACTGACAGTCCGGAGGTGACCTATTGGTCTTTGTAGAATCTTATCAGGAATAGATAAGAGGCTGGATCAAACTGACTATTGCATGCTGTTGCTTTTTCTTGTGGTCTGGTACATGAAGGATATCCAGTGTCATACTTCCATGAGGCCTGCACTGTGGGTTCTTTTTCCTGTTTAAATTATTTACTCAGGTGTGAGTATGTGTAAGAGAGCAGCGGGCATAGGGTGCACTAATTCCTCCCTTTGTATTAAACATATCCTAGAACCGTGACTTTGAACGATTTGTTTTGTTTAAAAATTGCCTATTTCAATTGTCAATACTGGGCAATATCATCTCAGCAAATTTGATTTACATTTGCAGAGTATAAAATCTGTGATCAGAAAACAGAACCAAATGTCCCTTAATTAAGTCAGAAACCATGTTAATGAGTTCACTTTCCTAAAAGCATCATTTTACTGTGTAGGGAGGCAGCAAGGGGCCAGAAATAAAAGTGCATCTTACCGTATACTAAAGAAAATAACCTAGATACATTGTCAGTCTCCAAAGTGACAGCAGATAAATGTCATGAGAAGAGAAATAGATTTGTGAACAGATCCAGAAATAAAGAGTTGAGACACAAGTGATGGGTTGAATTAGAGCCACAGTTTATTTATAGTATCTGTAAATGAGAAGAGTAGGAACCTAACAATTTCAACCTTGGGCGAGCCAAACCCTGCCCATTCCAAGAGGCAAAAAGCCTGGGCCCTACTTTACGGTGAATAGGGAGGCCTACCTGCCCCAACCAATCCTGGACCACACAACTTTGGGCAGGTGCAGCAGCTGAGCCTCAGGAACATTTCGCATCCATGCTATGGGCACCACAACCCTAAACAGCTGACCTCTGGAAACATTGTTCACTTTCAAAAGTGCCTAAGGACGCTGACCTGTTACGTGATCTCCACCTTAACCTTACTTGCACCTTCGTGCCAACAATGTGACATATTTAACCATGCAACCAAATCAATCCATTTTACAGCACTGACTTCTAAACACCAATATTTCCCAAATTCAGTACAGAGCAGGTGAATAAAAGTACTTCAGAGCAGGCAAAAAAATTCCTATTCAACCCCAACATGGCTGGTGATCCTATAGGGAAACAGAGGGCTGGCAAGAAGGGTGAGAAAATAAAGCCAAGGTACGTAAAGTCTGTGACCATACCAATGTGTGCTCACTGCATCCTGGGTCCACCACAGCAAGGTTCTCAAATGCATCATGGCTGGTGTGAGCAGACATAAAGGATTAGGTTAGAATGATCACATTATAACTCGTGCAAATGACCACATTATCATTAGTACAAAGCACCTTGTTCCTGCCACTTTACTCCCACGATGTAAACGAAATGTGTTTCTATATATATATCTTATTATACACACCAAAACGCAAATGGTTTGGAGCCATTGCTTGCTCTCCCCTCTCTTTTTCACGATTTTACATTCTACAATGTAATGACTAATTGGCTGAGTTTCCCAAGCTATTTTATGTTTCTCTTGCTCTGGTTACAAGTCGTACTAAACCAGCGTCTCCGCAGGGACCTATAGACGGCCAACAGTTCCAAACGCTATATAGCATTCCCCTTTGCTTCTAATGCGTAAAACATTTACGAGTAATTTTGCAAATGCATTAAGGAGGACCACCTCCCCAGGAGCCCTCCCCGTCTTCTGTCGGGCACTAACCCCTCACCTCTCACACACTGCCGGCGACCCAGTCCTTCCTGCCTGCTCCTCTCCCTGCTGCCCCCCCCCCCCGCCCGCGCTCCTTCACCAGTTAGCAGCACAACTTTCTGTTTGTGCCAGTGGGGCGGCCTGGCGAGACCACAATTGCTCTACTCCACAGATTGACGAGCCCTCAGATGCCGATTTACTGTACATGGCAGCCACTCTGGAGCCGAGGCACATCTGGAGTGGAGTAAGCTTACCGAGAAACAGGGGCCAGCTTTAACTGGAGCCAGTGGAACTGAGAGCAGCCGATGAAAGGCAGCTTTCCCGCCTTCCCCTTCCCCTCAGTCCCTGGGTAGATTTCCTAATGTAAACAGAGTCGATGGGGGGAAGAACACAGTAACTCTTTGCAGAATGTTTGTTGTTTAATGTGCTTTATCTACTTGAGGTCAAAATAGTGCCTTAGAAAAACAGAAGCTTTGCTTTTCATCTAAATAGCTAAAAGCCTGCGTATTACTATAGTGGTTTCTTTCTTTCTTTCTTTCTTTCTTTCTTTCTTTCTTTCTTTCTTTCTTTCTTTCCAAGAGGTTGGAGTGGGAAAAAGTGGCACTTTTGTGTTTATTTGCTCCTTTTTTATTATCATTTAGGGGCATAATTTCATTATCTCAAACCAAATGAAAAACAAACGGTTTGTCTCTGCTAAAGTTCTCAGTGCCTCTTTTTAATGTATAGGAAGATGCTTTAACCCACAAGAAGGGTACATATCTGTTTATTGTATGTACCATTTAAACAGTAAAAATCTAAAAGAACAAAAAGATCCGCCAAACTCATCTGTTCTGATTTTTAAAAAATAAATCCCTCCAACCCTCCATTTATATTATTTGAAAACAGAATAAAAAGATTATAGATGGAAGCTTTGTTTTACTGAACTGCAAATAACTTGTGCATTCTGGTGCCAACTGGAACTCAGGGGATTTTTAATTTCTTTTCTACATCCAGAGGATATGGTTGTTTTAATCTGGATGGACCAATTTCCTAACTGAATCTTTGAGTTATTTATTTGCTAACAATATATGAGGTTTTTAATAGCAGAACAAGAAGTTTGCATGGAATGAGAAGCTGACATCTTATTTCATAGTTAATTAAAGGGGAAGGCATATAAATGAAACAGAAGAGCTGTGGGTTGAAGGGAGAAATTGTGATAGGGGTTTCATATTACACTTCATAATCACTAAAATGAAATGGGTCGAATTTTTAAAACACTCAGCGGGCCTTTCAATTTTAATCCTACCGTATTAAAGATAATGATACAACATAAGTTTAGTCGGAACATGATTAGGCTGGTGTTGAGAGCTGGAGGATATGGCATATCGACTGCAGTATGGAGCCCCACACAACTAATCTTGAGACCCACACAGGCATTCAGGAATCTTGTTTTTCCAATGTACCTGTTTCCTTTGCTCACCTTTCAAATCCCATCTAAGGTTTCTCAAATGCAAAAGGATGCATTAAAAGTGTTATTTGGACCACAACTTGCTAAAGGTTTCTGAGCATTGTTGCCTGACTCTGGTGAAATGTCATTTTAAATCAGCAATCCTGTCTATACCCACTTACCAAGAAGTAGGCCTCAGTGAATTCACTGGGGCTTTTTCTGATTAGACGTGAACAGGATTCTGCTGTTAGTTTGCACACTGCTTTTTATGTACTCAGCATCACTTAATAGGTAAACTAAAAAAAAGGAAGGGTTTGCATAAAAAGAACTCTATAGAAATTTTGTCTTTAAAAATAATGAATATAAACAAAATAATTGAACCCCCTTTGAAAAAGGAATGCTTAAATAAAAGAAAACACTTCTAATTAATTTTTAATTAAATGATTTAATTTAATTGTATTAAATTAACAGTGATTCATTTATGTTGAACAGTGTCTCAGTATTGTGACAGGAGCCTCTGCAAGCAAGCTCCCATTTCCTATTGGATGCCTGGAAGGAGGAGATCAGCAACTTGGCTGTCTGGCTTCATGGAGTACAAGAGAGTTCCTGCTGCTCCATTCCTTCTAGGAACCTCTTCCCTAGTGGGTAGATGAGAACTTATCATAGAGGCCCTTGAACTATTGCAGGGGGTCTAAGAGACAAGGCTCATTGTAAGGGGCATTCAGAGGCCTCCAATCAGCAACTGCCTCAGGATTCTTGGAATGAGTGTTGCTATTCCACCTCTTCCAGCTCTCAAACTGGGAGGTGGACATTTATCACAGAGCTGCCCTACAGATAACTGCTTGTGACTTGGTGGGAGGACCATCTCGCAGTAAGTGGAGCAGTAGTTAGACTCTTGTACTTAGAAGAGCTGGTGGGGCTAACAGGGATGTGAGAAAAACATTGTTTTGTCCTCATCAAAAAAAGCACATTGTTCCAGAGGGTCCTGCAATGCTGCGTGGAGGACACTGATGTGTAAAATGCTGAGTGTGGGTGTCTGAAGAGGAACCTCTACATGCAACCAGGACCCTGTTTGTTCAGGCATCTTGATGGTGAGGAGCAGCGAAGTCTCCTCTTCAGAGGTCCATGATCGCCACACGGATGTCAGGGGGTGGGGCTAAAGTGGTCATATGATGGCAAGGGCAGGTCCAGCAGCACAGCCTTGCTCCTTGGTCTACACATGAGTGCCTCCTACATGAAAAAGATGTGAATAAGACTTGTGTTTATGAATTAATATGATGGGTGTGTGGCCTTTCAGCCCACATGGTTTAAGCACCTCTGTCTCTGAGGTACCTTCTCTTTTCAACAGCTGAAGACTTGTTCAGTCTGTGAGCACTTGTTCTAGCTCTTCTAGTCTCTGCATTTGTATTGTTTGTTGAATCTTGCTCAATACTCCACAGTGTAACCATTGTATTGGATAGAACGATATACAGCACCCTAGCAGCATGCTAGAAAATGCTTGCTGGTGCCCCATTTCTCCACTGGCCAAACCAGAAGTGGCAACATTTACACAGTCATCTATTGTGTGGTTTTTAAAGAGGAAGTAGCACCTGTGGATTAGGTCCCTGGGCCTCCTATTTGCCTTGTGACAAAAGGGTTAATGGGTGCTACCAGGGTCCCTTGCACCTGTTATTTACTCTAAGAAAATAATGGTGTCCCATCTAGTCTGGTCCCTAGTTGGAGGGAGGTGAACGGTGGCTAGGTTTTTCTTAAAGGAGCTGTATGCAGTTAGTTCACTATCCCTAGATACAAAACACAGGGCACTAACACAAATATTCTTATGAACCTGAAAAGGCTGCATACAGATCTGTGCTTGTATGTCCACTGAATAAACAGTACACAGCAGCACAGACAGCTTTGACAGTACCAAACACCTTTTTGTGTGTTGAGTGAGTGTGTGTGTGTGTGCGCCTGCTGGATTTAAACTACCCCAAATGGGATTGGCTCTGTCAAAGCAGACAATGCCAAAAAAAGTAAAAGAATGCTTCGGTAAAGTATTCACCCCTGCCAGATATCTACCTTCTACTGCATACAGAGCCAAAAAGAAAGAAGTAAAGCTGAGCAGCAAGAAGATGAATGAGAAAAATGCTACAGATAAAAGCACAGATAATTAGGAAATATGTTAGATTTTCTGTTAGACTCTGTAAGATTATTTAGAGCTAATCTGTGTATGTACCATTCAAACCGCCTGTTCATATGACAAGATGCTTTGAATGGATCATAGGATGAGATAATTACCTTAAAGGACAAAAGTGATATACTGTATTTGCTTAAAAAATGGATTAGATAAGCATCTAAGCCTAATGATTTATCAGAACACATTCCTCTCTGGGAGTATCTTTAAAATTGTCACCAGTACTTTCCAGCCAATATGCTTTTCTAAGCAGAATGGTACCTCTGAAGCAACAAAAAAAAGTAATTATTTGACTCCTAATTTACATGTGGGATTACTTGAAGATTTACACAACTGAAACAACATAGTATGGATTGATTTACAGATGTAATTTTCCTTTCCTTTCTTTTTCTTGATAGGTTTTCTACTTTAGCCCACACAATCTTGGGGGTCTGAATATAGAGTAAGAATGCATTTTCCTCATAAATTGCAGACTATTTATTTCTGTGCAGTTAGATTAATAACATATATCCAAACTTAAACAGTAGGTTTATGCAAAACCACGCTTTAGCCACAAATACTTGCCTTACCTGATTTTCCCCTCTCCAAATGGATTATACTTGCAGAAAATCTGGAAAAAAGCCATTTGCAGCCCCCTTTCCTTGAATAGGTATGCAACTCGAAATTGATATAATGCATGTAACATAAAATACCAAACAGGAAAACTGTAAGACAAGAATAGTAGAGAGACAGGCAATAGTGATTATTCCATAAAGACTTATATTAATAGAAGAGCAGGACTTCTGAAAAGGTTGTGTCAGCCGTTCAAGAACAGATATATAATTCCTCTTCCAGACACATGATATGGAAGTACTATGACATCGCAGACACCATGGAGCCATTGATTTGGAAACATATGAAACTACTATCAGAATTTGGTTTAAGACCTCCAGTCAGTTAAATGTTTAAACATGGGTTTCAGAGTGTACAAAAACGGGAAGCATTTGCATAAATTTTGTGGCTTACAGCCATGCAAATTGACTTTGCTGAAGGTAAGTCTCCAATACTGAAATGAGCCAATTTATTTTGGATTGGAAAACCTTATTTAGTTGCATAGTACAGGTGTTTATAAACTTTATAAACCTAGTTATTCTTTGGAAGAGATTCTGTACCATAAAGGTACACGTTCCTTTTTAACCAGGCCTTTGGTTGATTTGATTGATATCCTATGCCCTTTTAAAATGTGTTTTTTGCGGGGAGGGGGTGTCATTGGGTTGTTGCTTTTATTTTGATTATGCATTTTGTGGTTTTACGTTTTGATTTTATTCTGTGAACCGCCCTGAGTCCTGCAGGTATAGGGCGGTATATAAATTCAACCAACCAACCAACCAACCAACCAATAAATAAATAAATAAATAAATAAAGCACACCAAAATTGTGATGAAATGGTTGTGTGAAAGTGTGCAGATGTATTATAACTGCTCTGTTTACAAATTCAGGTGCTTGAGAAGATTAAGAAAATGTGAAGATGGGCATATTTGTAGGACAAATACATCCTATAAAAACTTGAAACAAATAATTTCTGTTTTAGAAAAAAACCTACATGTTCACTAGCCCAATTATGACCACCTGAGATTTTTGATGCAGCTATCAGGAATGGTGCTTACCTCTGAGTAGACATTCATAGGATTGAACTGTAAGTCTCCATAACTATCATTGTTGGGGTTTTTTTGTTTTTGTTTTTGCCTGTTTAGCAGCAGAGTAATTGAATTACAACCTGTCAACTGTAAACAGTATTTCGAAACAAAACAAAACAGACAGGGTAATATTTCTCCAACCAAAATATGTACTTATTGCATAAATTTTCAGACTATAATTCCGTTCCAAATATAAATATCCTAAAATAAACCACGGTACATTTTAGAATAAGCACGAACTAAAACAAAGAAATTGAGAGAACCACTAGAAGAAGAACAAAAACATAGGGAAAGGAAACCACAAAAATGGGGGGGGGGGAGAGAGAGAGAATTGGAATTGCAGGCATTAAGTAATATGCTGAGTAAGCAAAGAATGCTGTAAAGTACAACTAGGTGAGGAGAACGGAAGAAAAATACCACAAGTTTACTGTCGAATCAGAAAGTAATAAATCCCTTTAGCTGAGGCAGATTCTGTTTCCTTATTCCAGTGGATTCAGATGTGGAATTGTAAAGTGTGGTGTTATGATGCAACAGGAGTTTGATTTCTGGAAATACTGTAACTAGAGGTGGTGAGGTTGGAACTCTTATCACTATATAAGGAAAGGTCATCTGGATGAAAACCTCAGACACATTTGACCAGCGGCTGAAATGTGGACATTTTCTATGTTGTTGCGGTCAAAACCCATACATTTCAAATCCTCAGCTTAACATGGCTCTCTTTTTTTACCATTTAGAGTTAAGATATCAGCCTCTTCCTACCACATTACTACAAAGAAAACCTAGCAGTGGCTGCTACTGAACTCTATAAATACTTGTAATATCTCCCCATTGATCTTGATTGCAGAAATAGCTTTAATGGAAGAAATGGAACTCTATTAATACAGAGAATGATTTTAAATGAGAGTTTCTTTGATTTCAAGATGCCTCAGCCTTCTGCAGGTCTGCACCAAGACACCTATCAACACAAGCTCTGCTATTCTGAGGAACACATATTGTAGAGGGATATGAATAATATTGAAGGAACATGAAAGGCATGTATCAATTAAGATGAGGAGATGGTTCTCGCCCCTTCTGAAGAGTTGCCTAGGAGGACTAGCATGGATGGATAGCCAACTCACTGTCTCCCTTGCGTCACTGAGCAGAATTCTGAGCTTCACTGATGAGCTGTAACCAGAGGCATAGCATGGGGGGCTTTCTATATTGTTGAGACTATATTGTGTGGGACCCCCTACAGAAGATGCATACAAGGGGGCATGAAGATTGTCACTCATAATAGTTTATTTGCACCTGGAAAACTTGAGTCCCTGATATGGCACATTTGCTTATTGTGGCCTTGCACTGAAGCACATGAAGCCAGAAAGAATCAGGCAGGATACTAACAAATAGACCCCCCCAAGGGAATTGAAAAGGTCTAGACTTCAGTTTGTAGTGAAGCTCCTTGTCCCATGCATATATGGCTGATTTCTTCATTTTCTAGGTATCCCTTTGCTTCTTTTTAAAAGTAAAGTTTGGATTTCAGCAGAAGCAATGCTGTACTCCTATCATTTTGTGAATGTTGAAATACCATAACTGTGGGAAATCAATTCAAGAATGCACAACACAACCAAAGGCAAATAATTACAAAGAAGCATGTTTCTCTTTTTTGAGTGAAAGACTTTGCAGTACAGAACGTTGACATAGAACGAGTTTTGCTTTCTAGTGGGTATTCAAAAACCATGATAACAGTGAGAACCAAGCAACATGTAGCTCCAATCTGGTAGTCTGTGGCTGAAAAAAAAAATCACAGGTTATTGCACTGCATGATGCCTGTGGAACACAGAGAGTAATAATAATAGAATCAGAGAATTGGAGAATTGGAAGGGAACAAAAATGTCATCTAATTCAGCCCCCTGCAATGCAGGAATCATGTATAGTAACATTTTTTAAATGGCATTAAGAAATAAAAGTTATCAAATGACAATAATGTGGCGAAATCGAGAAATTCCTAGGTAGTATAATAAACCCTAGTGTTCTTACCACAGGGATGTGTAGCCTTTGCTACGTCCTAGGAACAAAGCCTCAACCAATCCAATTGTGAAGTTAAGTTTTATATTTGCAAGAATATTTGCAGTATCTATGCTTCAACTTCTTTATCATCAACTTTGTACAGCAATGGTTTTGAATGAGTGTAATAAATAATGTACTGTCGCTGACTTTGGGTTGTTACCACAGACAGTTTACTTGGCTTTTTCAGCATTTGGAAATGGTATTTCTCACCTCCTCCACACAAGTCTTTTCACCCTCCTGCCAAGATTTTGAAAGGGAAAAATAACTTCATTTTGGTTTGAGGTGTTTCAGAAGTTATTTGAGGAGAAGCATAGCTGGCTACTTGCAGGAACATTAGAAGTCAGCTATGTAGTTCATTTCTAAACACATTTTGGGATGAATTTGTACAAACCCTGGGAAAGAGATGCTATCAAAAATGGACACATTTTGAACTGTGTCCCCCCCCCCCCCGATTTTAACAATAACAGCAGCATTCCCAGGTGTCTATGCAGCATATTAAATAAATATTTAGTGGATGGAAAAGAAACAAACATATCAAGCAGACAGATGGATTATGAATCTATATGTTTAATGGTTTGATTTCTTTTAACATTTAGTTTAGAAATCGAAGTTGCCATTCATGTATTTCTAACACAGATACAGAATTACAGTGAATAGTCGATGTGCTTCATTGTTACTAGGGTGAAATTTAGCAATTCTCTATTAGCTTTTAGATGATAGCTTGACAGGCAAAGACTTGATGCTTTCATATTATAGCTCTTTAGTCTGGAATTGTCATCTATTATTCACTCTTTTTAAATGAAGAATCCAGATGACACTATTCTAGTGTTTTTTTGAAAAAAATATTCAGGCTAGTTTTTTAAATAATTGTTCACTTGCAATGCAATAGCAACACCAGGCTGCCCAGTGTGGATTGTAAAAGTACTATTTAAAGCTTTCAGGGCTACTGTACCATTAATTAGTAGCTTCCTCCTTGTGGCATATGTTTCAAACTGCTCCTGTTCAGCTAGAGAAAATAAGTGAAATGCTCCCAGTTTGAGTAAAACAGTACAGAGGCGGTGTTTCTCCAGTTTAGTAAAGTGAATTGCAGTGCACCACTGGTACACACAGGACTATAGGAAATGTCTGCAATTAGAAATTAGGAAATGGACGTAACAGTCTCTCCCTGTCTGAACTTTAAAGCTAGCAGTGCTGGATTAGGATTTCTGCCGTGGTAGCAGTGAAGGAGGAAGTTGCTTCAGTTACTTGAAGAGATTTATTTTTCTGTTTGTGTGGGACACCATCCCATTACGTTTTATGGTCTGAAAGTGGCACCATTTGTTGGGCTGCAATTTGGTGCACAAAAAAAGCACATCTTTATGTGCCTACACAGTCTGAAACAATAATGGGGTACAGAAAACATTTTTTAAATATATATTGCTTAAAAATCCATCTTATCTAACAACAGCTGGGAAACTAAAGAGTGGACTGTGGGGTCCTTGGTGGACAGAAAAAGAACTCATGCACCTGAGGTATGCAGTAAAAATAATGTTTTTTATATATATACTTGTATGCCAGTTCTCATTTACTTTACCTTTAAGAGCCACCCCCCACCATTTTTGCAAAGCTGAGCAGGCAACTCTAATGAACAGCAGCAATAAGTAGCCTGTGGCAGTAAAATAAGGCAGACTTCACCCCATGCCCTTCTCTTTTCTCGAGATGAGGAAGTCACTTGTTTGCCTCTGGTGCGTTCCATCCCTTCCCTGGGCTGAAATATATTTGGGTCTGCTGGTGAGCCTGGTAATAACTGTGGTGGCTGCTGAATGGGGTGGGGTGGGGGGAGCAGGGAAGCAAAGGGAGTAAAATAAGTGTCAAGGAATTCATTGTCTGTCCTCCACCTGTTGTTATTCTGGTCCCAATCAACCTGCTAGCCAGGCTGGAGCCAGTGGCCATCTGGAAACACTGCTCTGTTTATAAACTTGGCATGAAGCAGCACTCCCGGGCCCTGACCTCCCACACAAATCTGGAAACAATTAGAGCAAGATGATAGGCAGGCAAGGAGAGTGAGAGCGAGAGCGAGAGCAGGACGGAGAGGAGACTGCAGGGGAGAGAAGAACAGAGAGTTCCTTTGCTCTTCGACTAAGAGGGGATTGTGGATGTTTCTGATCGAAAAATATATTCCTATCGTTCCTGCCCAAAGGTTACCCCATGATTTAAGGATAATGATGGCTCTTCTGCTGCTTTAATCTGGCTTTTCCAAATTGCCTCTTCTATTTATTAAGTTTCAAAATTTTCACCCGTACAACGAAGGAACGGAGAGAAGTAAGTTCAAACCGCAACCGCAACTCAAGGCAATCTTTCTGAAAACCAGATCATATGATACAGTTCCTACTCATTTTTACTAGCAGTAAAATCTGCCACCCAGAGAGCTCATATTTGTGCGCTTTCCATGGGGGGGGGGGGATGGCTTCCTCATCCTGCCTTCTAATAAAATATGGGACACTTTGGGGGGTTCTCTTCATCACCAAGCCCTCCTGGCAGTGATTCCCTTGAAAACATTTGTTGTGTTTGCTCCAATAAAGCCAGGCCTTCATGCATGCACCCAGTTCAGGTTCTGCCTAATGAAGAATTAGCCAGGCAGGTAGCTTGCCAAACATGAATCTGATTAAGTGGAGACTCAGAGAGAAGGAAGCTTTAAAAAGAACAAATCAGGCACTTCCCTTTCTAGAATAAATTGTACAAGCAACTTTGTTCTTCCTAAGTCTGAGTAATTTTACCATGGCAAGTACAGATGCCAGCATGTTGCTTCATTTCTCACAGTTTGTCCATTTAGTGGAAAAAAAGGCTGCCAGATGAGACGATCTTACAGTAACTCCTGTATGAGTAAAGGGAAGTTAAGCAGAGCTCTTGCTTCTCTATCAGAACTTAAGGCATCTTTCTCAAGAAAGATGTTGTAGGGCTACAACTCCCACCATCCTTAGCTAGCAGGACCAGTTGTTTGGGATGATGGGAGTTGTAGCCCAACAACATTTGAAGGCCCAAGGTTGAGAAAGGCTGACTTAAGAGTTCTTTTTCTGCTATAGTGTCTGGGGGGGCTATACCACTTGCTTTTTCTGAATTTGAAGTTTTGCCCTCAGTTGCAAACAAGTAGTTTGTAGAAACTGTTGCTTGGATTCACACTGATATGAAATGTAGTAAACAGGTTGTTGTTATATGTAGTTTTGTCTTAATGTGGGGTTAACCGTTAAATCAGTTTTGCTACTGGTAGTTGACATGGAAATTGTGATAATATGCACAGTATCACATTGCTTAAATAAAACTTGTTATTTATAAAGTATGAGTACGAAATAGGGTGGACTCCCAAAAGCATTTTGCTATGCACTGAAATGCATTTTGCTGTTTAGAAAATATGCTAGGTTGCAACTCTTCTGTTTCTATCACATCGTATGGGTATTATTCTTATGGAATTCCTATCTGATATTTGAAATGGTGTTGCTGTGTTGGTCCAAGAGAACACAACAGGCAAACTAAGTGAGGCTTGTCTTATTGACTGAACCCTTTGGGAGAGAAAGTGTGGATTTCAAAAACATGTGCTCCCTGCGCCCTTCAATACGAAGGGGCTTGAAAGGAGTGCAAATGGGAGAAGAGTTTAATTTGGCCTTCTTTGAAGTAGCTTTATGACTAAACGTTTCTGTGGGAATGCAAGTTACACAGAACCTTGGCACTGGGGTGGATTTTGCCCATAAGAAAGAGGATATGAGGGAGCTTGATAACTGAGAACTGGATCCTGTGAAGTGCTGAGCACAATATTTCAATCGTGAAAGCCCATAATTTTAAGGAATGTGTGTAGTGCTCAGTGGGACGACTTCCAAGGTGCCAGTTAATCATGTGCTCTGTTGGCGCAGATTCCTTTACAGAATAAAGTTTCAACTGCAGGGACCTCTGTTGTGGGCAAATAAAAAAATAGAAGGCTCCATTGCTGTTGATCTGCTATCTCTACCAATAGTTTGATATCTATAGAGTTTACCTCCATTAGTAGAAATATGTTTCGTCAGTTACTCACTGGTTTTGTTTTTTGCCTGAAAAAGTATCATGTCAGGGTTGTTTGCTGGTGCTATTTGAAAATCTCACCATGGCAGCCAACTCGGGACTGCCTGCATTCCCTCCTTCTTCCTCTTCCTCCTCCTCCTCCTCTCTTCCTCCTCTTACAGAGCCTCTGCAATTTAAAAGAACATAGAACGGAGTGTAGTGCAAAAACAGAGAGGGCTTCTTTAATGCGTGAAATGGCAAAGAGGCAAAAAGCAGTTCATCCACAAGGCTAAAGCAAACATCTTCTTCATGAAGCTCTGGTTGTTTGGTAGCTGCAATTTTGAAATGATATGAGTAGTAACATTTGTTAAAAAATGTTCAGTCTGGGAAATTAGTTCTGAAACTCTTATGCAGCATTGTTGAAATTGGATCAAATTGAACTGTAATATATAAAATATTGTGCTTACTTAACCCCTGTAAACTGAATTCATTTGTCTTTGTGAACTTGCTGGGCTATTAAGGATGCACATTCCTTCCACAGTTAATAACATTTAATATTTTTCTCTGAATTCATAAATTTAATTAGACTTGGTTAATCAATCTCATATTTTTAAAAAAGTTGAAAGACTTTTGAGAAACCTTTTGATTTAAGAACAAGCAAGTATCAAGTTCATGCATTTCAGCTGGTTAATAGCGTGCTTACATTATCTTCTATTGCATAATATAGGCCTGAATTGACTGGCTTCTGATTATACTGAAAAGAGTTTCCAAAGCAAGCCATTTTCATGACTGATAATAAGGCAGCCCAAACCACTCCCTTGGTAATCTCTCACAGCGTCACGGCTGTAAACTATATGGGGACAAGGAATCCCGTTCTCTCCTACCTACCAAGCAAAAGACATGCCACTTTGTGGTAAAAGTAAACAAGAAGAAACTACTTTTAGGTGTAAAATATGTTGGGAGGAATGTCCAAGCCTTTGACCTTCTAGCTCTAAGGGTTAGGGAAGCAATTCCAGCCTGAGGGACACATTTCCTCATGGACAACCTTCCAGAGGCCAGTGGCGGGTGGGGACAGAAGCAAAAAGTGGGTGGGACAACAATTGTACCTTTGTACACTGAGCTGCATTCCAGCCACACAGAAGTCAGAGGTTTCCAACCCACCTCCTCCCGATGCTTCATCTAGGCAAGCAAGAGGCATTACCATACTTAGGGACACATTTCAGCCTGGCAAAAACATTCAAGGAGGGCATTCAAGAAGAATTGGACCCATTCCTTCCTGGCCACTGCCACATTTCTCCCCCCATATTAATCTCTTACTCTTTGGGATGCTGGATGGAACGATCTGTCAATTTCAGTTTTCTCAGTTTATTTTTCCAATCTTAAACCCAATTTCCCACATTTCTGTAGCAATTTTGTGTGGGGTTTTTTTAAAATCTTAATTTGAATTTCTGCATTTTTGTGTGCAGTTTTGACTAAGGTACACATTTTTGCAAATAATTTCTCCCAATATAGTGGATTTTTGTATGTTATTTTCAAACATACCTTCATTTTTATGCATATGTTCCCCTAATATATGCATTTTTCTAAACATTGTTTGCTTGGAGAACTGCATTACAAAATTTGGTACTCTGATGGGGGGACAGAAAAGGGGTAATGTCAGTTGCAGCCTTTTAGTTTATTGTGGAGGCACAGTAAGAAATTATTATGATTCTATATTGTGAGTTACAATTACCCCTAGATAACAGGATTTCCCATTTACAGAATGTGACACTGGCTGAAAATTCGGAAACTACCCATCTACAGGGGACCACTGAGCCTAGGGCTTGCCGATCAGAAGGTCGGCGGTTTGAATCCCTGTGATGGGGTGAGCTCCCATTGCTCAGTCCCTGCTCCTGCCAACCTAGCAGTTCAAAAGCACATCAAGTGCAAGTAGATAAATAGGTGCCACTCCGGTGGGAAGGTAAACAGCATTTCTGTGCACAGCTCTGGTTCACCAGAAGCGGCTTAGTCATGCTGGCCACATGAACCAGAAAAACTGTCCGTGGACAAATGCCAGCTCCCTCAGCCAGTAAAGTGAGATGAGCGCCGCAACCCCAGAGTCGTCCGTGACTGGACCTAATGGTCAGGGGTCCCTTTATCTTTACCTTTACCCATCTACAATAAACTAAAATAAGTTTTCAAAAGAGGAAAGCAGCACAATATGAAGACAAAATGCCATGCTTTGGTTTTTTTAAAAAATTCCCTAACAATGCTCTTGTTGTTAAAAGGCTTAATATGTACAGATTAGGGCTGGATCTAGACACTTCAAAGAAGCGTTTCAGTTGAAAGCGCTGTAAATTTAAACAGGGAAAACAGGTAGAGAAAGACGGGACTCCACATCGCCATTTGGTGGCACAAAGTTATATCGCACATGCAATGCATATAAATCGCTGTTTCTTTACCAGTCTAGCTGAGCCCTAGTTTGCAATAATTATTCTTAGCAGTTCTTTCCTTCCATTTTCCAGCAATGTAATATGAGGCCAAGGCCAAGAGTTTATGTCAGGATCTGTCCAAAGCACTCCTTGAACGGGCCTGTTAGTTGATATTTTTGAAGTGGCAGAAAGGAAGCACCAGGGCAGTGTCCTTCCTGGCTCTGCCGGGCTTCCTGTACGCTTCCCTGATGGAATGTTAGTCAGAGGCCTTGTTACAATTCAGACTCAGTCTCTCATGCCACCACCCGGCTCCTGGTTTGATTTTCTGAGCCTGTGTTCTCCGCCGGCACACTGTCTCTACCCTCTGACTAACACATGAGTGTACAGGTGGCAGAGGAAAGGGTGAACAGTGATGGAAATTACCAGTGATTCAGATTTGGAGAATGACATGGTTATTTCCAGCTGGAAATACACCTGCTTAATAATGCTGCAGCAGACATAGTTGTGTAACATGGCCAGATTACAGTCTGCAAGGTTTCTTCAATATATACCCGCCGTGGTTAAAAATCCAGAGGCAACTGCCTTTGCTGGCTTGTTGCCAGAAACATGTATCATATCCTTCATGAAGTCTTCCCAAACTTTGAAATTCCCGTTCCCTTTTGGCAAGGCTTGCCTGTTGTTGGTGTTCCTTTAATCACTGTTTTGTGGAAGGAATAAAGCTGAACCAATCGGGTTTCCCTGTGTGTGCATTTCTATAATATTCACCAATGAATGGGGCTATTTTTTACCCAGATAATTTCCAAGATATGGCAAGGAGGGTTGCTAGGCAAAGAAGCCTACAGCATATGCAGGGGAGGGGGGATTCAAAATCTGAGAGAGAGAAAATTGAATGAAGGTAGCAATAGGCATGTATAAAATTAGAAAGTTATTAAGGCTGCAGTGTATACAGCCTTACTTGGGAGTCAGACTAATTGGATTCGGTAAGATTTGCTTCTGAGTAAAAATGTATAGGATTCCAAAATCCACAGCTGGGCTGAAACGAACAAAAATGTCACAGTTTAGGGCTGTGCTGTTAGTACATAAAATTTCTACATTTTTAATATTAGATATTTTTGTGCATGTAGACTGATAATTCAGTCCAGATAGGGCACTGATAAGTCTCCTGTGTTGAAAGAACTATCTTAATTAAGTTGGATACTTAATCCTTGTACGTCAGCACCCAACAGCACGGAGGCCTCTTTCTCTGCTTCAAAAGGGCAAGAGGGGGAAATCATGTGAATCCTGCTTCTGTGCTATTGGGCTCTTATTCAGAGGGCGCAGTTTGCACGAGAGATCACCTGAACAGTGGAATGGAGAGGATTAGGCCAGTCCTTCATCACGCTGACGTAGACCAACTATATGAAGTGTGGGTCATACGAATCTCCTAACTACTGGGGCGGGGATTTGCTATAATGTATAACAGAGAATTATACTGGAGCTAGAATGCAGTCAGAATAACTGTGACGGTGATGGCAACAACAATAACAGGTGATAAACTGGCAAGGCTGAGTTAACTGATATCTGCAGGCGAAAAGGAAGCCATTGTCTTTATACAGGTCCAAATGGATACATTTGAACTTCCAGATGAAGTTCCATTTTTCAGCTTCATGCTCACCCTCAGATTGGCAGAGTGTCCCAGAAGATGGAAAATTATCTTACTAGTTTATGAATATTGCCCTTTCTGATGTCAGATTTGTGTCCATTGTTTCTTTTGTATAGAGACCGGGTGTTGCTGGCATATTGTTTTGTATTTATATGGTACATTTTCAAAGTGGTCATACCCACTTTGTACATGTTTATCTCAGTTCTGCAAGGTCATCCAGTATTACCTTCATGTCATAGATGGGAGGCTAAGAAAAAGTGGCATGCTCCAGGTCATGGGTAAATTCCTAGCGGAGGCAAGATTTCAAGTGAGGATTTCCTGGTTTAAAGCTTATTCCCTTATCTACCATGCCAGACTAGCTCTCTTTTCTTTACTAGAGTTGCATTAAGTAATACAGATTTTACAATCGGGTTCCCAACTTTTTATTCCAAAACTGATGACCCATGGAATGAGTCAGGGTTGCAGACTCTGTTAGGCCAGGAGTTGAAGATAACAGCAAATATTTTCTGCTAAACTCCTGGAGATTATGCTGGCTGGCATGGTGGGCTGAGCTTTGGTCCTAACAAGGAAGTACACTAGGAACAATCCCATAGCTGCTGCCGCTATGTTTGGCTGACAGCACCTCTTGTCCTTCACTTCATGGGCTACCAGAAGTTAGCACTTGTAGAAAATGGGTTGAAGCAGGCTAAAAAAAACCTCTGCAAATGATGGCAGTTACATACAGCCTTTCCTTCCTGCAGAACAGAAGTTTGGACCTTGTATATTTCTAATATATTATATACCCTGGGAGACAGCAACAAATTGGCATTTCTCAAAGCAGGGCTACCCTGGCTTCTATTAATAGTTTATGTTCCATTTTATTCAGCACAGACACAACTTGTATGATAGTCAATGTTTTAAAAAGCTTATTCAATTTCATTGCTGGAGTGTGTTTCTATAATCAAGTCACGTGTACCCTAGCATTACAGGGACAACTTCTGCCTGCCGTACCCAGTTTTGTGTTCTTGGAATTTCTTTCAGGAATGGGTCTATGCAATTGTTTCAGCTTTCATTACACCAATAAAGCATTTTAATGACTTTTGAATATCCACCAAAATTGGTTGGGGTTTAAAAGAAAGTAGAGTCTTGACTCTGAAAAGTATTTGGAAGGAGAGAAGTGGAATGTGTATAGAGTTTGTTCCATTTCCCTTTCAAATTCCAATTGCTCACGAAGCACTTGTTCAGTGTCTGGTTAACAACCACCAGAATAATAGAATCATTTTTTGGTTGCTGGCATCCATCTGTCTCGAGAGACAATGGAGTGCTCTTCCGGGGCGAAGTCAAACCACTGGAGAATCATAGCACCTACTTAGAAAATTTCAGCTGCAATTAACACATAAGAGGTTAGCAACTGTGGTAGAATTTGATTTTTTATTTATTTTAAAGAATCATTTCTCAGTTTTTGTTGTCCTGCCTGTGCCTCCTTCTAGTAGCTCAGCCTCAGAGTAGAATATATTTCCCAGAGTTAATGTTCTATCACACATGCCTTAAGAGTCCCCTGTGTATTACCAGCCTCTGTGCCAATATATTACTGATTGTCTGCTTGAGAAAAAACTAAAAGCACAAATGTCAGGCTGGCATATGAGAAAAATAAATCATGAAGAATTTCTGGTGGGCTTTTCTTTTTTCTTTTTTGCATGAATGTTGCATTCCTGGTTCAGGAGACAGAGCATGTTTCCTGACCACTAAAGCACCTTTTCCGCTTCATGTAAGTCAACACTTCAGCTGTGTGTGCAATGCCAAAAAGGCAGAAATCAGCCCCTCAGGAAAGAAAAAAAAAATCAGTTTTAGTACTTCACAGGGACTCTGGAGTATAGATAACCTATGCATCATCAAGTTACATAGGATTTTGTTTTCAGTGCTACCCAACTTATTGCCTTGGGCACTTAATATATTTTTTTATTATTTCCCATGGCAGCCCCTGCATTGGCATTCCATGTTATAGAGCAGATGTGGGGAGTCTGTTGCCCTTCGGGTGTCTTTGGACACTCCCATCAGCCCCAGACAGCATGCCTAGTGGTCAGGGATGGTGGGAATTGATGATCTGGAGGGCTGCAGGTTCCCTGTTCCTTTTTGGAAAACACCCCACAAGTTAAAATTGTGTCCCAAGAGAAGGACTAGAAGGGATGAATTTCAAATTTATGAAGCCACAAGTTACCTATATTCTGGTTATGAACATGGAATATATTAGTGTCTGAAGAAGAACTTGCTCTTTCATAACCCAACTTCTCCTTGGCTTGAACTTATATTGAAGTCATGTAGTATTTATGACACAGAAGATGTTTCCAGGAAAAAAAAATGTTATCACAAATCCACTGGGGTCAGGGGAAAGTACTTTAACTAAAATAGAAACCACAGTGAACTTCTGCCTAAATAGTAAGCTCTTTTGAAAGCAAATGCGCCATCTTAAATTCAATATACATATACCTCCTTTCTCGTGATGGTGGTCTTCTTTAACTATCCTGTTCAAAATCCCCCCAGTCACTTGTTTTGCTTCCAAAACAATTCAGTTTCTAAGATTGAAACCTTTAGGGATTAAGAGATGCCTTAGACAAGAGAAGGTCTGAAAGCAGTTTGAGTAGTTTGATATTAATGACAAAGAATGCAAATAATTAACAACGCTAATGAAATTGAAATCAGGGACACACTGGGGAGTTTAAGGGTGGTGACTTCTCTGAGAATGGAAGTTTCTCTGTGAGCTTTGCGCACACCCTACAGTGTAGCCGTGTGGGAAAGGTTACACTGAACTTGCCCTTTCATAAGAATCACTTTAGAGCAAATAGCAGTTCCAACATGAGAAACAATTCTGTGGCACAAGAAGCTGAAGTCTGATTCAAGGGCTCATTAAATCTGTTCTTTGCATTTCTTTCTCCATATATTATGGCTTTGATAATATTTATGGTTTTGAAAACTTTATTGGCTGTGGTGTTCACTTTAATCAAACTATCACACGCATCATGAAGCAATGGCTCTGCTTTGTATCCTACACCAAGGCTTTTGTAGCACAATCTACCCTGGTCCTCAGAAATTGCACTTGCTCTTTAATCACCCTTTCGCCTTCCCCTGGTATTAATTGCAGGCCAAATGTGAAGAAGCAGATCTGTTCCCTATTAAAAAAAAGTCTGTGCATCATTACATCGATCTCTTGTCTGAAAATGCTGTGACCTGAAAATGTGGACAGGCTAATCAGCGCTTCAGAATGGTTGGCACTTATTGATAAAGAACCAGGTTGTGCCCTTAAATGTTTTTCACCTTTCTGAGGGGGACACTGAATGCATCTTATGAATGCATTTGTGCTTTCCCATGTACCACAACATCAGGGCAAGCACTTTGCCTGCTTCCATTGAAGAGAAGGGTGGCAGCCATGGCTTTGCCTATTCATGTGTCAAGAGTCTGATCAGTGATCTCTTCCATAGCCTATTCAAGGATAGGTTGGCTGAGTTTGTCCAGACTGTGTGATGAGACTGTTTTGAAAGACTGCGTTATTCAAGACTGATGCTCTGCCTCTCCACTGCTGTAGGAACTTAGCATGACATCCCAACAGCTCTACAAGTGAGGCAGTGTGAGACTAGTTGAGTGCCAGTTCTGGGGTCAAGCAGGGATCATTTTTTCCCTTGATCCATAGTGAACGGAAGATAATAGTCTTCTGCCTACTGCCTCTGCAGCTTCTACAGGTTCTAGAACCAGATGGTTGACTGGACTTAGGTAGAGGTAAGGCTTTGGGATATTTGGCAGAGTTGCAAGTATAAATAGTTGCCAATACAGGTTTGGGTTAGGGCACACTTTAAAAGGCTACAAGGACGAGCAGCTCAAGACATTGTGCTGGTGAGGGAACTTTCTCATCACCTCCAAAGAGCTTGTGGGAAGATGGGCTGGTAATTCCTCATGAGGTCACTGTCACAGCGGCTCACAGCATTCCAGCTTATGGATAATGATATTTGCTGGTCTCCCTCAGAATACCTTCAATGTATGTAAACTGGGAAAAGTGGAGATATCAAGTCTGGATGAGGGTTACCTAGAGAGGTTATTGGAAAAGGCCAACACATACTTTCCTCCTTGAATTAAGAAGGTGTAGTTGCTAATCCTGAAAGGCTGAAGGTTGCAGGCAAATACGTAGGAACTGTTAGGCATGTTGAATATCCTTTGTATGCAATAAAGTTTACTTTATTCCACCCACTCTTCATATCGGGACAGTGGTTGGAATTCCTTTTGACCAAAATGAGCACTGGATGCTATAACAAGGTGGGTGATTTGCCCACAAGCCTCTGTTTCACTATGGTAGACCAAGCAGCTATGCCAAGAACCTGACTCATACTTTCCAAAACTGATGAAAAGGAAAGATAACATAAATGTAACTGAGACAATATTAACACCACTATTTCTTTAGTAAACACCTTATGAAAGATTCAAAAAGGAGAAACATCCTTTGAGGTTTATGAATGAAATGTGGTCATGGGATCTCATTAAGCAGGAAACTGTGGCACAATTTCTTTATTTTTTTAAAAAAATACTGCCATTTTGGAAATTTTCTTTATAAGTTTCAGTTACTTACATATTGTTTGAATGGAGATCAATAGTATTTTCCCATCTCCCTGAAGCCTACTGTCATTCATTTTCTTTTTAGAGTACAGACGGCAACGAGTTTAGGTGTGTCCAATTGGTGCATGACCACTGACATGTGGGTCCTTTTGAACCTGGAAGAGGGAAGAATGGGGTGGGATGGGGTGTAACTGGGCAGGGCAAGCTTATGCCTACTCCGCCAACACGTGCTTTGACCCAGAACGCAACCCCCATGGAAACAGGGAGTTGCCTGTACTGCACGTTACCCTGGTCAGTGGTTCTTATTCTTTGATTCCATCTTGATGATCAGACTTTTCATGCTGTGCACAGGTGATCAACATCTATAGGTGGCCAAACTGTTCCACTATTCCTAGTAATTTGTTATGATGAGTGCTGGCTCAGAGTATTTACTGAGACTTCATGTGCTAGTTCAGAAACTGCTAGCCATATTTGTGTGAGCTATTTATGTCTCCTAGAATAAATTGACCTGAACTGTTTTTTACAGTTAGTTGAATAGCAATTACTATGGGTGACTTTATATGTCTAGTCTCCTATGGCTGCAGTTCAAAGGTACTTACCTGGGAGTAGTTCCCACTGAGCACAATGGGATTTAGTTCTAAGTAGGAATGTATTGGATTGTACTGTTAAAGGCTCATAAGACCTTTCCTTATTTGTCTTCTCAATATTTTTTGATTAATTTGCTTTCAAAACTTTCTGTTCTCTTATCTCTTCTGAAGTTAGCATGCCCCCAGAGGGTCTGCTTTTGGATTTGAATTGAGGAGACCAGATTTGAAATGTCAGTTGACTTTTGAATTAAATGAACGATCACAGGCAAGTCACACCCCATCCCAATTGTGGAACATGATTCCTCTGATCTTTCTTAGTGATGCTACATATATTGTCACAGTGGGAATAGAAATAATATCTTTCCTAACAAGAGTGTTCTGAGATAAAAGTTGCAAAGAACATTGTCTGCTAAAATGACTATATGGAAAATAATTAATAACATTCTTGTGGATTGCTTTGAGGCTGATATTGTGCCTTAGGTTCTTTTTCTAGGGATTTCAATTCCCTATTAATTATTTTCTTTGTCACTTTGATTTTCTGACCCCATAGCACTTTAGCATTGTAAATTTTATCTCTGTTTCTTAAGCTACAGTGTTCTTTTTTCACTTCACATATAACACCCCTACCTCTTATTACAGAAACTGTATACTGGGATGGGGAACCTGTGGCCCTCCAGATGTTTGAGTCCCATCATTTCCATTGGTCTAAACACAACTAGAGGGCCACATGTTACTCACCCCTGCTCTTTATGTTAGTCGTAAAGAAGATCTTGGCCAGTTAATGGCTGGCTATTTGGTTCTGAGAAATGCATCATTTTTTAAAAATAAAATCTCATCCCTTACCCCAAATGCTTGAAGTTGTGAAAAAGAGAGAGAAGGATGTTGGTTTAGGTTTAAATTAAACCAGGTTCAATTATGCCTGTTGAAAAGTAGTGGGACGGTTTTAATTCTACCTAAAAAGAAGTATGGTAGAGTCCCACTCAACTATTAGCACAGGTGTAGTGAAACAAGGTGGAAGTACTGATGGTAGGAGGGAGGGTTCAACTGGGAAGAAGTATTCAATATGTTCTGTGGGCAGGGGTAGACTTTGGTCTTTCAAATTTCAGCAGTGCCTTGTAGAAGGCCAAAATTAAGTGCCCCTTGCCTCTTTCCCTCTGTTGTACTCAATTCGCTATGTCATGGTTGCAACACACCCTAGACTTGGCACCCAGTGTGGCAGAACCAGTTGTGTTGCCCCAAATCCACCTCTGTTGTGGGCACAGGTTTAGTTTGGGGTGGTCCTGAACCCCATCCAGTGTTGCCTTTGGCAGATTGGAGAAGGTTATAACCAGAAGTGCTTTTGCCCAGCTTTACCTGGTCCACTAGCTATGGCCTTTCCTGAGGAAGGCTGATTTTGTGATAGTTACACATGCCCTGGTCACAGATGGACTACTGTAATGCACTTTACATGAGGCTGCCCTTGAAATGTTCAGTTGGTTCAAAACGCAGCATCAAGGTTTGCTGATCTGAGCTTGTTTCTTTGACCATATTTTACCATTACAATAGCGGTTGGAACAGTTCTTAGGCTGTGTCTAATTGAAGGTGCTGGTTCTTTGTTTTAAAGTCCCAAGCAGTTAGGGCCCTCACCTTCTACGTGACCTGCATGCATACTGTGGACATCAGGAGTTATATGCTCCTCTAACTTGTGAGGCAAAGAGACCATGAACATGAGGTTGAGTCTTCTTGTCTGTGGAAGCCAGGTTATGGAATGTACTCCCCCAGCAGATCTGGATCTCTTATTTTATTAAACATGTTGTGGGAAATCACAGTTTTGAATATGTTAAAACTGTCCTGCAAGTAAAAAAGCGGCACAGGAGGGAAAGGATTGGGTTACCACAAATTCCCCTGATATGCTGGTTAGCTATTTACAGCTAGCCATTTTCTTTTTCATGGGGAGCTATACAAAAGTGATACACCTGCAGTCTGGAATGGCACAGTTCATTCAATTAACTCATTTCCTTCTTAGTTTGCTGCATGTGTAGATCAAGCTTCAGTTAAGAGTGACAAACATCTTGTGTTCCATAGTGAACCTGATGGCAGGTCTGAAGACTTTTCTAGTTAGGAATGTTGTCCGACTCTACTGTTTTCCTATACTTGAACCAATGGTATATAATTCTAGTCTCACTGATCACCAGGGTAAACAAAAGCTAACAGAATAAATACCCTGCTAGCGCCACAGGCATGGATATGGACTATTGTAAAAAGATAGCCTTTGCAATCTGTGCTGACAAGTGACAATGCACATGTAGATCAGATGGATAAGGAGCACACAATTCTTGTTTTCTGGCAGTACGGAACAAAGACAGCCCTCCTGGCTGGCTTGTCAAGAGTTACAGCATTCCACACACTGGTTGACTAATCGTTGTCAGGTTTTCAAATCAGTGTCAGGATTTGATGCTAAAAGGGAAAAAAGCATCTCATTTCAAGAAGCTGTCATTGTGTTTCATGGGATTCAGACTCGGAGACATTTTATTTCTTATGCTTACTTGATTACCACCAATTTGCTGAGGTTTTCTCAGCATGTCTTTGAAACCACTTAAGTATTTATGTGTCAAGAAGGATGATAAATGATCCAGGTTATAGAGTACTGGTGTTCTGGATCTCATCCTTCCTTCAGCTGAACCTGATGCTTGGGGAAAAACATGGCATAGTAATAATATATAGAAGTACAAGTTCCACAGTTGCTGGTGATAATGGAAAAAGCTTTAGCCATGTGTTGGGTTTCCATAGCTGGAAAAAGAAACACTGTTAGAATTCACAAGATGAATCACAAGAATGGCTTAGCAACATCCGGAAGAAAAAGATATTCTTTATTTGGATTTATTGAATATGTAAAAATTGATTCCAGAGACATTTAGATGATAAAATACAAGTCTGAGTAGATCTAAGATGGAAGTAGACATAAGATGTAAAAGTATGACACACATCATTTTTACATGACATGGAACTGATGTTCTAAATCTTGTAACCCTACCTCTGTTAGTCTACAATAATGCTTGCAAGATGGCTTTTCATAGTGAGAACATTATAGAGTTTTGCAGCACCTTGAAGACCAAAATATCTATTATGACATAAGCTACTTCATCCACTGCAGCATTCTGACTAGGGAGGTTAAAATTCAAATGGAACTTGGTAGTTCAATAAAGAGGCATTTTTTAAAATAACACTCTTTGAATAATTGTAAAGAATCAAGTGGTAAAATCATGTTTTGCTGATCTCTGAAGATGCTGTTGAAGTTAATTTTGAGATTAGATATCAGTAATCCCCCCCCCAAAAAAGCCAAATGTGACTAATTGGGAAATAATACATTTCTCAGAGCTCCCTGTGCATGCTGCTGTAAGAACACATTTCAGGGAAAATGAGAGAGTGGGAGATGGAGGGAAGATGAGAAACCTTCTTTCCAGCCATCCTCACTACTGCTTGTTTGTATCCAAAGTTGAAATTTATGAGTGTCAGCACCATCTCTAAATATTTAATAAGCCCCTAAGAACTTCAGAACTTCAGCTAGCATAAGCTGATGGATTTGAATTATTTTTGCTGAGCAATATTCAGAAATAAACAGATACTAATAGGCTTTTTACATTATTCACTGAATGACGTAAATAACTTCACTGAGTTGAAGTTGCTTTCAGTTACCTCTTCTTTCTTCCCAGTTTTCTTCTGTAAGCTGCTCCATAAGTTCTGAGGATCAATCTTAAGAGCAGGCCAGCACAGTGCTTTCTCTGCAATTCAGCCAATTCCTGAAGTTCCTATATAGGGCAGATTTCATCCACCACTGATTCCCTACTCATCCATATGGCTGATAGAAATGACTGCAGCCACATCATGTTTTCAGCTGTGAGGGCCAAACTACACATTACACATTTGAAATGCATTTTTCACCTCAAAGAATTCTGGGCGCTGTAGTTTGTTAAGGGTTGCTGGGAATCGTAACACTGTGACAGGTAAACCACAATCCCTAGAATTCTTTGAGGAAAATAATGTGCTTTGAATGTGCTTTAAAGGTATACTGTGTATGCATCCTCAGTGGAAGGAACAATGAAGTGTCTTACCTGTTCTTCACCTTCTACTTCGCTAGTTCAAATGGTCTCCTCAAATGGCATTTCCTCTGTGGTGTTCCAAACATGGGCTTGTTAAAAAGAACAAAGGAAAACCCACTTTCTGGGGACACAGAGGCTGGGAAAAAGAATTTCCCTTTTCCCAGCTGCTTCTCCAATCCCAATTACGCTCCCCCCCCCAAGTGTTGTGTTTATTTAAAGTATAAAAATACAGCAAAGGACTTAGGTTGCTGTATATAGCATTACAGGCAGAACAAAGTTGAAGAGGGAGTCGCATTGTGTGTCCACTAATTCAGTTTGGTTGCTGGTGGCACCTTGCCAGCTATGTCCTGCCACCACATCTTCTCCTCCACAGACAGAAGAACAGATGAGACGTGTTCTGCATGAAGCAACACAATAAACCTGCCAATTTGGCATGGCGCTTCTTACGTTATTATATTTGACTTGCGGTTGGGAATGGAAGAAACTAAACTCCTGTAATTTAAACCTGAGTAGGACATTGTGCGCTCTTTCAAATGTTGCATAGCTCTTAGAAGATTGCAGCGGCTGCACACCATTATGGAAAGCAATGTAAGGCAAAAAGAGAAAAATGCTTTGAGTACTGCCTTTAAGTCATGATCAGAAGCCTTGGGAGCATCTCTGAAATGTCACCACCAGCAGAATATTGAGACCTATAGTTTCATACAGATAAGAAAGCCTATACTGTGGAGGGGATAGGGGTAGCAGCAAACGGCTTAAACAGAACAGATGGAGGTAAAACTGTAACAAAAATGTTTTTGCACTGTTGTAATGATAAAACCTTCTTGACTTAGGAAAAAATGTAAAAGAGGTCCTCAGAGTGATTTGAATCGTGCACTCCTGACCTAGGACGCCAAGAGGGAAAGGCACCCTTTACCCATTTCCCATTTGCCAACACAGCGCCTGTAAAATATCAGGCAGGAATTGAGCTGAGCTGGGCTAAGGGCAGTGGGCTGAATCTGACCAAGTGTTGTAACAAAAGCAAATGTTTCCTCTAACTGTGAGGTCAGATTTTAGCACAATTGCAATGATTAAGTGATACTTTGGGGGTAGTTAAGGTTGAGAAAAAAGAAAGGAAAAAAAGATAAACCATGCCCCAAAAGCTAATAAAAAGAACAGAATTCTGAAGGAACTCAACCTGGGGAATCATAATTACTTGACATTTTCACTGAAAACCAAGCAGTATATTAACAACTGGGAGCATGTTTACTGAGAAGCAAATGCATTGTGAAATATTCTCAACTAGCAATCTATCCCAGGTATTTTTGCTGGGTGAAACCATTGGATTTGTGTGCCATTTTTAGAGGTCTCCAGTGCACCAATGTTAATAGAGTTTTGTTGTACTTCTGGTTTAATTTGTTCTGGACTTTATTAGCTTCCCCTTAACACGTATGCTGTATTAATCTCTACTTATAAATGACACTCAGGGCATTTATAGTGGACATTCTAGATATACTGGGAAAAGGCACAGGGAGCAGGATAAATAACATATAAAACAAATTCCAAAAGCTTGTCTTCTTTCAAGCTATAATTCCATAAAAACAAACTTTGTCAAAGAAAGTACAAGTATCTCACATGTGGTTATGGCTTGGGGATGCTGCTATGTAACAATATATCAGGATATTATTAAATATGCCTGTCTAGAAGATCTGGAACCCTCTCTATCACTCAGACCTCCCAAATTGTACAGAAAACCCAGAGATAATGCAAAGCAAAAACTACAAATCTTTTGGCTTTAAAATTGCACTAGTCTCTTAATAGGTAAAATATTTTCTGCACATCTTCCTTGACTTTGATACTCTGTCCCTGGGAGATAGATGTCAGCTTTACTGATAGCAGATATATTTTCTTATTTTGCTCATCAATTACCTTTTTTGCCGTGTGCCAAGGTTACAGAATGATGTAGTGCAGAGATTCGCTACTACTATCAGCTTCTGGAAAATAGGGTTACCTGTACCCAGGTGTACCTATTGTTGACAGTGTTGCACCATCTGTGATTTTTTTTAAGCCTATGTCACAGAGACGATCTGACATCTGTCACTTATTTAGATAAGAGATATATAATCCATGTGGCTCATTGATCCAACAGGAGTATGAATCCCCAGGGCTCCTCCTTTGTGCAATTGCACAGTAGTGGAAAACAGCAGCTCTTTCATGACCAATGACGGACCCCTATGGCACCATGGTATGGCAGTAGTCTGTTCCTCCCCAACAAGCCCACAGCTGCATAATGTTCTTTTAGTGTCAACAAACAGCCTCATTGTGTTCCTTTTCTTTTCCTATCCTCTCTCATACAAAACCACAAGATGGTTTAGAGCATTCAACTAAAGGACCCTCCCTCAAAACACACACACACCCTGGTAGGATACTAACAAGATTACTGTCCAGCTTTAAACACACTTGGTACCAGCTTATCATCAGCCATTAAAATATTTGCCAAGTTGGATAAGAAGCTCTTGCTTTTTGGAAAATGTTTGACCATGGCAGAAGTCCAAGGGCGAAAAGTTCCACTGTTAGTTGCCATCTTGTGCAGATAAAATAGTCAAGCTGTCTTGGTTCATTATAATGATCCTTATCTAACATAGTCGTAGAAGCAGTCTCATTGACAAGCAGGGTATGATATATGCCTGCTTATTTACACTACGTGTAATTTAGATCCCACTGAAATCAGTTGGGCAAGTTAGTCATTCTTTAACTTAATTCTACTAAGTTCTACTAACTTAGTCTGGACCTAACCCTCTGTTATGAAATTCTTTTTGATGTAAGCCACCATATCTCATGTAGGGGATTCTGCCTGCCTCTCCTCAAGGAGATCTAAGGTACCTTGCACAATTATATGCCCAAGGAATAAATAATCTGTTTTATGCTATGAAATCACTCCCCACTGCACATGTTTGACTTGTGAGATTGATTTTCCTCATTTTAAATTTTCTTCACCTCCACACTTTGGAACCTTTGGTTCCAGACCATTAAATAAAAAGTTCATGCTTTGTAGAAATCCAAAAGAAAGAAAATGGCCGGGGAGGCAATTTCCTCTATCCTTTGTTATCCGTCAAGAAAAAGAAAAAAGAAAGAAAGGCCTCACACAGGGAAACATTCTGCCTTATACCCCAGTGTATTTTGTAACCACTTCTACAGAGAACACAGTTTTTAAACAAAAGAAAGTGCAAAGCAAATGCTTATTAGGCTGGTGTGGTTCTGCAGTTTATTAAAGGCTAAACCAAAAATAACATTGAGCCACCTCACAGAAAGGTAATGAGATCCAATTGAAACTGTTACTTTTGGCATTTCATTTAATCACTTATGCATAAGTCTGATGTCAATGTTTCTGGCATATTTGATTTTCTTTATTTTTGGAGTCTTAAAAAAAAGAAGAAAAGAGCATGAATTATGTACTGGACCTCAAGCTAGTAGTTTGCCCCTGAGTGAGGGGCTGCAGGAACACTGGTCAGATATGGCACATCGGGCTTCCCTAACCAGCACACAACCTCCTCATCTTCCTTATATGTGTTATTTAGGTTTAAAAACAGCATTCAGTTAACACCAATAGACAACTATTTGCAAGCCTAATTCCATTGTGGAGGGGGTGGTGCAGCTGAAAAGGTTAGGAGGTACTCCTTCCCTCACTGCCCCCCCCAAAACTCATTCTTCCCCTGCCCCAAGACACTCCACCTGTGCTGGAATGGGGCTTAAAATTACGCTGGAGTTAGGCTACTGGTGTCAATAGAAGGCTGTTTTCAATGGGGAGAGAGTACAGTCTTCATGTACAGGGCAGCTGGGGAGAGAAAGGTCAGTTTGGCTCATCCCATTTCACTGCCAAAGTGTGTGTGTGTGTGTGTGTGTGCAGCTGCAGTGTTGGCTTCTAGGTTCTGGCGATGGCAGTGCCCTCTACCTCATGGGAGAAGCAGTAGTGGCCTCTGGTTTCCAGCAACATTTCACCAGAACCCGGAAGCTGCCGCCACTTCTCCTTGCTTCTCCGGAGATGCTGGAGGGGGGGAGGTGCCCACAGTGGTGCCAGGGAACTCATCCAGTGGCACCCCAAGTGTCCCCCGCTGCAGGAGAAGTGAAGGGAAGCACCACCAGCACTTCTTGTTTTTCTGGTGGTGGCAGCAGCAGGCGGGTCACTCATAGGGTTCCACTGCCTCCGTTTGCCTTAGGGGTAGACTGGCCCTGAGTTTAGGGCCTAACATCTTTTAATTTTCCTCTGAACTTACTGTTTGAGAAACACCCCAGAATCCAATAACACATCTGATGACGTGTACTACAGCCCCCAAAAGGTGATGCCATAATGAATTTGTATGATTTTGAAGTTTCACAATACTCTTTTAAAATTTTTGCTGCAACAGACTAGCACAGCTACCTGTTTCGGAAGTATTCTGGTTACTTTTGTTTTGTTTTGTTTTTAAATGAGAAAAGCCAGACACAGTTCTCACTTGCACCGGTCCACTCCCAGTGCAAGGATTCATTTTGTACTGGGTACATTAATGTGTGCTGACACTTTGCATCAACCATCGTTTCCCAAACTGATGTACCCCCTGGAATGGATGAGGGGATTAGGTAATGGCCAGCTGTAAATACCTGGGCACCTGGTTTTGGATTTGAATATGATGTGCCGGCCTATAGATAGTGGGGCAGTACATGTGTCCATTATCCTATATTTCGTTTATAACAACCCAGTGTGTTATTAGGCTGAGAAGTGGAACCTGACTCAGGATCACCACAGTCACCTAAGCAGGGATGTGAAGCCAGCTTTCTGCAGTCTAAGGTCATCACTATGCTCACTGCACCTCACTGGATAGAGCTCTGTCTCTTTTTCTTTGTCTGTCTCCCTCCTACATTCTAGCTAGTCCACCTTTTATCTATATCCTGCTGGAACTGTCTGCTTGCTTGTCATACCTAAAGGGCCATCAGAAGTGTATCTTTCCCTTCAGTGGGCTGACCCTAGACAAGTAAGCCTTGTGGTGATGGCCTGGGCAGAACTGCAACTTTCTTGGCCCTTTTGCAGCTTTGCAATTGGTGCAAGTTCATATAAATGCCCCTGCCCCCTGAGATAAAATTGATATACATCTATAGGAAATGCAATGTAAATATGTAGTCGTTGTATTTTAAGGCACCACCATAAAGTCAATAGGAAACTAATTATACAGTATATCTCTGTCTTGGTGGTTGCTACATATGCTAACTGATTTTTATTTATTATTTTTGCTATTTTTGTTAGCTACAAGGAGGTTTTCCTTAGTATCTACAAGGAAAGGAACATGCATGATAACATAACAGGAACAGCTGCTTAATCTGGAAGTATCATCCAGCATTTTCTCCCCAGATTGTTTGGATCTTCCTTGCTATGCATGGACTAACTGACCAATGTGATTGTGAGTGTTTAAGGCTGGGAGGCCTGCAGAAAGGATGGGTGATTTCCTGATACGACATACCTGATATGTATAGAGACCGGGTATGTTAAGATCTTGCAAGTGTACAAAAGTTAAAACTAGCTCCCCTGCACTCTGCACTTTATTAGGAGATGGTATGAATAGCGTCTGCTGCTGAAGGGGAAAATTTGTATGGCGAGATGGCAGGAAACTGTTCTGGTTTTTGATTAGTTAGTATCTCTTGCTGTATGTTGTGACCTCCCTGTTTGAGATCTGTATTGATTGCTGATAGGTTGCACTGTGCTATGTTATGAGTGGATTGTGTTTTAAGTGTGAAAGGTTCTGAGGTTTTGTTGATATTTTTGTGTTGCTTTTATGCTGTAAACTGCTCTGAACTGTCTCTTGGGAGAAAGGGCAAGGTTTAAATTTGACAAATAGAACAATAATAATTTTTTTTAAAAGAAAGCAGCCTGGGTCACCCCTCTCTCTGATTTGTAGGGAAGATCCAGGCTCTGTGCTGGAGTGCATTCCGCCAGCTGCAGACCAAATTCCCCAAGGAAGCCCAAGCAGGTGGTTTGAATTCCACTGACAGGTGTTGCTAGTTCCTGTGTTAAGGATAGCTGGCTTTCTACCTCTTGCTCAAATTCTGGAAGGAACATTTCAAAGCTAAGCAAATTTGTGTCTGTCACTGTCAACATTCTTATTCCCACCGTGGTGCTCATAATGGTTGTAATGACACTGTGGTGTTTTCGGTTTCTTTTTTTAAAATGCTAGTTCAGCAGCTCACATTGTAGTTGTGGGATAATTAGATTTGTTTTGGCTTCCTTGCACTCGCTTGCTCAATAGTTCAAAAGTTGGCACTGAAAAGTGAGTTTGAGTTCAAACACATATCAGTTGGAGTTCACTATTCAAGCACATATGGAAGGCTTGCATCTGTGCGATATTTTTGAGGTTGCTATTAAAGAATGTTGTTAAAATAGCCCTGGCTAGAAATAGCTTTGCCTTTAATTTTAACTTCATTAAAATGGGATTGAAGAAAGAGGGGCAATAAATTATAAAGCTGTACAATGCTTTCTGGGAAGATGTACAGAATGCAGCTCATTTTTTGTTTTCCATTTATATAATAAGGACATTTTCACGCCCTTGGCAGCAGCAACTAAATGCACCGCTGTAGCCCAAACTACATTTTATGGGATTATGTGTGGGAGCTGCTGGCTCACATCTCCTTGGTAATGTTGAGTTGAAAAAAAAGCACAACGTGATGTCATTGTGTTAGTTTTCACCCGCCCATTCCCCTGCTCTGGTTCATTGGCTGCCACACATCTTTTATTCTACAAGTTACCAGGGAGATATGGCAGTTGTTTTGGCTGAAGTAAGTGTGGTCACGTAGAATTAGGGCAGAACTACGTTTTATGAGCAATGCCAGGATGCTGATGAAATGGCATCTCTGTTTTGAGCTGCCTTCTTTCCCATGTAATGTTTGGAAATGCCAACCTATGTTGTGGCACTGCCACACTGTGCCTTTTGCTATCCCTGCTCAGTATCATTCCCCCTCTCCCCCCTTTTAGGGAAGGCAGACTAAAGGATACCGCCCAAGGCCTAAAACCGCCAAAGTTGCGACAATTGCTACGGGGAAGGCAAAACCTGGGCGGCAGGAAAAATTCCTTCCCGGTTCTTTAACAGCAACCATCATAAGACTGTAGCAATGCCTTCTGACCCGGAAGGAAAAAAGGTTAACCTGTAATCAAAGCATTAAACAGAGAGAGGGTTGGGTGGGTGAAGCTCCGAAGCCAACTGCACGCTCCCAGGTTGGCTCCATCCCTCTCTTTATACCCCTAAAGCGGACCGGAGTGAAGCCTGCTCACTCTCGGTCCACTTGGTTGGCGCCGCCTCCGCCATCATCATGGGTTGGCTCATTTGAACTGGGGTTTAGCGGGAACCCCAACGGTTGTGATGCGGGAAGGCAGGCCAGCGTGACCATCCAGTAAGTCTCCAGCGGAGCGATCATTATTGGTGGAGTGGGGTGAAAGGCTCAGGATGATGATGTCGCAAGTGGGGTAAGTGCATACCTTTTAAGTGTTCCGATTTGCCCAGGACATCCCTGGAATGACAGAAGTCATCTCAGCTTCTTATTTGACCCTGGAATGTCCCATTTCCCCTCTCTACCACCACCGCCACTGAGATCAGAGAGGAGGATGAGCCAGTGTTTGCGCTTGCAGTGGAACCATCATGAAGTGGAACCCTTGTGTGTGTGTGGGGGGAGGCAGTTCCCCATTGAAGCGGAGATGCAGTGCTCTTGCCAGTCCCTCTCTGCCACTGCCAAAGCTGCTACCACTGTCATGGTGGCATGAGGTGCAGTGTGGGCAAAGGAAGCAAGTGAGGAGGGAAGGGAGTGGGCAGCTGCCAGGCAGAGACTGTGGCAGAGCAGGCAGCCAGCTGATTTGCACAGCACCAAAAGACCATCATCCTGATTTTCAGCTGAAGAATGTTGGAGGGTATGTAAGTGTTATTACATACAGAGGAGAGAAAGAGCTCAGCCCAGGGGTTTATCATTTTCTCTCTTTTTTTTTAATGATATTTATTGAGAATTTTAAAGTTACAAAGAAAAAAGAAAGAAAAGACAAGAGAAGGAGAAAAAGAGAGAAAGAAATAGATAAACATAACAATTAAAGAATACAGATCAATAAAAACCAAAGTCAAACAAAAAAAAAACCAAAACACACAAAAACCAAAAAAAATAACAAAACACACAAAATCAGAAAACAAAGATAAACAAAGATAAACAAAAAATTAAAAAACAAGTCTAATATTCCCAAATCCTTAACTTTCATTAACTTATTTCAACGACCTCCTCACACCTCCCTTTTTTGTATTCTAGTTGTTAATTATCTCAGCAAATCCTTTCCATCTTTCACAATATTCTGTCATTAAATTACCTTAATCTATTTTAACCTTATCTTACCCTAAAAAACCCTAAAACTTAAAACTTAAATATTATATATATCAAATTCTTTTAACCATAACATATTCTTACATAATTCTTTTTAACATTTCTGCTAAAGCCAAATAAATTCACTCCAACATTTTTCTAATACTCATTAATTTTACGATATTTTTCTAAATAAATTTTTAAAACTTTCTTCCAATCTTCATCCCTCGTCTCTTCTTCCTGGTCTCGGGTTTTGTCAGTCCTTTCTCGTCCATCTAATCCATCAACCTGGTGCTCTTATGTCTGAGGCTCTTAAGTCTTTTCCATGTCCCTTCTGCAGGTCTTCTTATTGTTTATACCTGCCCTTTACTTTGTCTTTTGTTGATCTTTTTCTTATTTTCTTTCCTTTCTCATTGGGGGGTAGGTCTCGGGAGGACTCCAATCCAATAATATCTCCATCTCTCCTCAGCAGATCAGCCCATTCCCCACAGTCAACACTGTAGTCCAGAAAGTATTTAAAAGCATCTTTCCAAAATTAAGAGCCCTCACAACTCCAGACCCCCCTTGGTCCACTCCAGATTCAAACTTCATGAACAGCGGCTTATACTCCTGCAAGGCCCTGGATCTCTCCATTTGTGTTGTGGAGCAACCTCCTCCATTTTCTTCTGCACTTGCGCTTGCCCTATCAAAACAAATTCCTGGGCTGGTTCCTGAATGGTTTCTATATGGGTATTCGCCGTTTGTCCAAAATTTTTAACTGCAACAGTCATCAAATCCATCTTCTCATGCATCTGCTCCAGCAAAGCACTTGTCTTGCAAAGAGCAAGCACCAAGACTTCTTGTAAACACATTTCCCCCCCCCCCCCCAAGGTTAGAGTCTGGTCTCACGATCCTAATCATACAGCAGCTCCGGCAACAAATTAACAAACTCCCTCTAGAGGAGACAATTTCTATTTGTATCCATCTTTTGAAAGCAGGACCAACAAAGAAAAATTACTTTCACTTTTCAAATACTTTGTTTCTTTTGATTGCAAGAAGCAACATTGGAATCAATTTGTTTCTCTCTCTCTCTTTTTTTAAACTATCTGTCAAAAGACGTTCCATTCACAGTCGATGAACTTCCCCATAAATTTCTGTCTCTCACACCCCGTTCCCAGGTTTGAGACGGTGGAAAATTTATCTTTCTTTATTCTCTCTCCTGCAGGCTTAAACAGTCAAAAATCCCCCTCTTTTCTCCTGCTTCCAAGAGGGGTTTTGGTAGTGATGAATGAAGGAAATTTAGAACTTTATATACGACTTTCCAGACTTTAGCTTACAGAGTTTTTGCTTCAATCTATTTACAAAAAACGGGAGGCAGACTTCCTGTTTAGAACCTTCCCGTTTCGGTGCCAAATTAAAATATTTCTTAATCCAGTTTTCCGTTCTACTCACGGGTACTTGTTTAGAGTCCAATTGTCCACAGGAAAAAGTCAGCGCTCTCCGGCAACGGCTGTGCGGCTTCACTCCGTAAAAGTAGCGGTTGATTCAAAACACCATGCCACTCACCCCACGTCGCTTCGGATCCCCGAAAAAGGGTTTCCCTGTGAGTAGGGGAGGCGCTCCTGGTGTCAGCCGAATCCCATGTTCCCAGGCTTCCTCCGCCTGGGATTTTTAAAGGGTCTCCGCCTTCACCGCGGCGGCAAGACCCGATTTTCACGGAGCGGGTTCCTCTCGGTCAGAGGAACTCCGCCATTGCCGATGGCGCTGACCCTCAGCCCAGGGGTTTATCATTTTCGACAGCATCCCCATGACAATGCATTATCAAAAACTTCTGCATTTTCTTTACTAAGCAGAGCACTCAGTACCACTGCTTTGAATTACACTTCCCCTACAAACTAGACCTGAAAGAAGTGGGATAGCACTATCATACATAGACTGAGCATTATATCACGCATATGATATCATACATATATTGAACAGCTGAGCAGTCTTAATAAATGCCGCTTTTATTAATATTGCTTGTGTAATATATTTCTGATCCAGTTTACTATTGAGTGCTGCAGCTTCACAGCCAAGTTGAAAATGTGTGGTAATATATGGTGATCTTACTCTTTAAAAATGTGAAAAGGATTTGTCACACTTTCCATCTCAAATAGGATTATATGAAGTAAACCCTGTCCAGCATTTCCTCTTCCAGGCTATATGCATTGCGTAAGTAATTCAGAATTGCCTTTATCTCATATTTTGTTTGTAAAAGTCTGAAAGAAATAAAGATATTATCTTAAACCTTCCCCTGATGGACTATTTTCCAGTGTAAAGTTCTTTAGAGCTGCTGGAAATGTAAAATGAAAATGATGAGAAATTGTAATAAATCTCAGAAATACAATATCTCCATGGGAATAATAAAAAAGCAGAGACATGATTACACCAAATATCAGTCAACGAGAGTTCAAGTAAATCTCATATATGTTTGCCATAATGTTCCTTTCTTTTCATGTGGTAGTCAGTATGGCTGAATGTGTGGTGGCATCTATGAATATCTGCGAGTCTGATGAAGCCCAGTGAATATCCTTGGGTCAATCATTATCTCTCAGCCTATGCTACATCACAGGGTTGTTGTGAGGAAAAATAGAGGGGGCAGAAGCACGTTCAGGGAATGTGATGATCACTGTTCTCTTCTGATTATCATGTAAAGTCTCATATTGTGGATAATGCACCCCATGAACTGAACTTCAGGGAAGAAATGAAATTCTCCCTTTTATACAAGACCTAGAAGCATGGGAGGAAAATGTCTGACTCCCTTTAGAAAAGACAACAACACTATTTTGATGAAAACCACCAAGCTGCTGTAAAAGATTTAAATAATGATTTTAAAGCAGTATATACACTTACACATTCAGAGGTCACCTTTGCTTGTTTAAACATGCTTTTTTGCTATCATTAGCATAATATACATAAACAAAACCTGAGAAACCACTGCGAATATCATTCAAATTACTGCCAACTTTCCTTTTGCCAGAGAAAGTGATCTTGGAGAAAGGTGACTTTGAGAAGTGACCTGGGGGTACAGGGCAGTGAGGTAAAGTTTCACCCCATTACTCCTGAAGGAGGGATGAGAACCTTCAGATGATGGACATCCATCATGCCTGACCACTGGCTGGGGCTGATGGGAGTTGTAGTTTAAGAACAACTGAAGGGCCACTGGTTCCCCATCCCTGAACTAAAGGGTCTGTTGACAAGTTGTGTCACCGTGGGTATATGGGACCAGATATCCCTGCTGCTTCTTAGTAAATATGAAGAGACAAACATCATCATCATCATCATCATCATCATAATAATACCCCACTTTTCCCGCTGATGGGACTCAAGGTAACTTACAGATAAAAACAAGAAACGCTGAAAACATAGAAAGAGCAATAATTAAAATGCAATTAACCATTGATAAAATAAGAACTGTATACATATATAAAATACGTTTAAAACGTACTGATAATGAGAATAGAAACAGCACGGCAAGACTTTTTTCTGCTTTTAGAATGCGGAAGACAGCAGCATATACCAGCCCTACTTGGTCCTTTTTAGGAGTGCATAAATATATTCTTATAAATATATAAATTCACTGGATTCCTGAAGAGTTTCTCCTAAACATTTCCAATGAGCCAATGAATAGCCGTGTGAGTAGACTGCAAGTTTGCAGATCTAGACTTGGGGTTCCATTTGGTCACCAGAAAGTTATCCCATAGACCTCACCAAGATTATCACATTAAAGAGATGCCTACTTAATATATGCTGAAACACAGTTTACCAGGTAACTAGATGTATTTTAAGTCTTTGTAATGTGCATATATTGATCCAAGAGGAAACATGGATTTATTTTTTAAAAATACTGTTATATGGTTTCCCATTCTACAGTAGTACCTTGGGGTAAGTACTTAATTCGTTCCAGAGGTCCGTTCTTAACCTGAAACTGTTCTTAACCTGAAGCACCACTTTAGCTAATGGGGCCTGCCGCTGCGCCGCTGCTGCACAATTTCTGTTCTCATCCTGAAGCAAAGTTCTTAACCCGAGGTAATATTTCTGGGTTAGCGGAGTCTGTAACCTGAAGTGTCTGTAACCTGAAGCATATGTAACCCAAGGTACCACTGTATTATTTCAGGTCTACATAAACACATTTTTATAAATAAATAAACTTCCTGAAATCATTTTTTTCTTGTTACTGTTTCTCTTAAAATAGCCCTACTATTCAAGCATCCTGAAATCACAGACATAAAACTCCATTGAATTAACGTAACACTGACAGAACCTGACACACAGCCTGGAAATTCAGAGCTGTGGTTGGCATCCCCTTCTGAACTCAAGCCACTGTGCCTTTTATTTTCCACAGGAGCATTATTGCAGCTTTGAGTGTGGATTTCCTGGTTATTATTATTTTTATTTTCATCTGCATGTGTTTTCTGCCTTTATGTTATTTAAAACTGGGCTTCTGTTCTGGACATCTACCACAAAAGAGAATGCATTGAAGTCTGACTCATTGTTTGTATTGATAAAGCCGGTGTATAGATCAAGAAGCAAGACTAATATTGATCCAAACTAGGCCAAATCTTTCTAGATGGAAGGAAATCAAGGTAATTTGTTGTGCCGACATATAACACCAGTCAAAACCTTGAACACTATGTTCTGAGAAGTGCAAGAAAGACATTTCCCACATCATTATTTAGTATCCACTTCTACAAATGCAGACAATTTGGAAAGTTCAGTTAGGCATACCTTGGGTTCCATTCCAATATGCCCAGGTTATTGTTGTTGTTTTTTAGCTCTGAATTCTACATTGAATCTACCACTGAATCTCAGTAAACACAAGGCAAAATTAAGACCATCATTCCCAAAATGAATGCCATTAGCTTTCATCTCCGCTATACGAAACTACCATGCTTCTTAGCAGCTAACAGATGAAGTACCGATACAATTCCTGTATTGAGCAGGTTCACATAGATTATTTTCAAGGCCTCTTCCAGCTCAGAAAATCTGACTGTTCTGAAGTCTGATAGCCACAATTATTCCATAGTTATTCCTTTGAATATGCCTCACTGTCTCAAATTGAGACTTTTCTAATGATTATCGGGTCCTCCCTTAAAGAGGGCACATATTGTGGTGAGACTTGGACAACCAACACCCTGTGTTGTGGGTGGGTACAATTGGTTAGCTACAGCACCCGATTGGTAGGTCCCTCGAAGCTGGGTACAATCTGGCCAATGGGATGCAGTCTAAATGGTTCGAGGGACCTATTTATGCCCATGCACGTGACCCAGAGCTTCCTCTTTTGGCGTGTGCATTCGGAACACCCGCCCACCTCTCCCTACTTTTAGGGCTTGTTGCGCTTGACCTTGCTATGCCGTCGTGTCTCATCTTTTCCCCACTTGGCTGATAGGCTGTTTCCATTTGGGTTTCGCCTGCCGCGTAGCAAATCATCACAACTTGTAAGGTTGCGGATAGGCTCTGGTTCAGGTGATAGGGATGGGAGAACGTTCTCTCCATCCCTATGTGAAGGGTATTCTGTTAAAGGAATCCAGGGACTCGATGGTTTGGTCAACACCTGAGAAGGGGTTGTTCCCGTGCCTGAGTCCAGGGGGACATTTGGGTGGTGGAGTTAGCCTGTGCCCGGCTTTCTGCTTATCCAGGTGTTCACCCTTGGCTGACCTATGCTGGTGCCCTGGGTCAGCGCTACTTGCATGGCAGGTAGTCGAACCAGAACCTATGCAACAAGTCACTTTCTGTAATCAATAAAGTTGTGGCCTAAATTCTGCCAAAAACCAAACCAAAAATTTGAGTCAAGTGTGAATTTATTTTTTTTGGGGGGGGGGGGTGTTTCTGGGTCTGAACACACAATAATGGAAATACCTGAGTGCACAAGTGAGCATTTTACAACAGCTCTGTTTAATCATGGAAATCTGGCCACCATGAATTCAAGAATTAGTGAATGAGATGAATACATTTTCTGGGAGGCAACTCACCCTCATTTCATACAATCATGCCCATATCATACTTTCAAACTGTTCAAATATTTATAAATCAATATTTATAAATAGTTACCCAATGCCTAACAAACTTCCTGACCCTCATTAATATACATTTCATCCTTCCTTTAACTTACCCTTCCATTTTGAGTGAAATTTCTCCTTTTGAGATTAAATATGATTATGTTGAATTTAACTGAGCCATTCCCTACTCACAGATATTAAATTTCGTAAGGCTGAGGCTACAAACAAGATCCTGGACACTATATAAAACCAAGATCCTGCTATTTGTTTATATGGTTACTCAGGGCATATTATTTACACCACCTTGGTGGAGATGATAAAATCAGTGATACTTCCACTTCTAGAGGAACAGAGGAACTGAATGAACTGGTGAAGGCTGCTGGAACACGTTGTGTCTCTGAAGGCTATTTGCATCTTGAATTTTATATTTGCGCAAGTGTCTTTATATGTGACCTGTGTCTTTTACGTGATGACTTCCCATTTCCCATCCTTACTGTATCGGGTTGTATCTCACTGCTCAGCGGGAATTGTGTCAAGCTCAGAAATGCCTTAGGTTACGGGTTCTCTAGTCTCACTGATGACAATAAAATAAACTGTTGAGTTCGGAGTGCTGTGCATCCTGTCTGCTGAAGCCTTCTTCCTGTCTGTAGGAAGGCATTGTCTATCCCATGGGGAAAGTGTTTCTTGCCAGACAATGCAAAGCAGCTTCTCACCTTCCCCTTAGAACGAAAGAAAGGAAACCAGAGTGCTGCCAGCCAGAGATGAAGAGGAAAAACATGCCACATCATTTAGTGCTAATAATGACCAGAAATCCTTGATAGCTGCAAGGCATTCAGGGCATTCTCAGTTTTAAAAGAAGGCGGCGAATACTATGGTCAGATGGCTGCAAGTTTTAATACCCCTTTCCACTAGTGCTAATGTGGGACTTTTGATAGAAATTAGAATTCATAGTAAATGCTTTGGGGGTGTAGAACACTTCCTTAGCAAAGAAATGAAGCTAGGGAGATGTAAAAATAATAGGATTGCTTTCTGAAAACTTTTTTCTTTTTTTGTATTTCTGTAGGATACAAAAAAAGTCTCCGCTGCATCAGACTAGCTTATTAGTTGTCTGCCATTGGATCCATTTCCTATGTCTTAGAGAAGAAAAGAAAGAAAAGAGCAGATAATATTAAGATTTCAGATAGTATGCTGCTAATGTGAACATATCCTAAGACCAATCATCATTATTCTCCACCACTCAGTGGAAATGGGATAGAAACAATATTGAATGGGCTGATACCCAGGAAGACCATTGGTGATTTTATAACGGTGGATGATTGGTTGCAAAGGCCAAATAGATCACAAGACCATCAGTTTAAATAAATGTATTTTCTTCTTTGTCTTTTCTCTGGCTAATAACTCTACAGAATTGGGATATGGTTAGAAAGACTAAATTCTGCTAAGTGTTCTGATTGGTTATTCTTAGTGTCATACGGATGCCAATGAAGTCCGGTAAATCCATGGGCCTGTTTTCATTATTATGTAGAAATTCCATTTCATGACAGAAATAATATATTCCAGACAGAGAATTTCAGGGTGATAATTATACTTCTTGGGTGGTTAAAGTAACTCCACCTTAGTTGAGTGAGTAGATTTGCCTGCTGGCAAAAATGGCAAACCTTTTTTTGGTTTCAGCTGATTTTTTTCTTTTAAGGAGAAAGGGAGGTAATTTTGGTAATATATTTCAATATTATTGGCCAGATAAGAATAAAGTGATATCAGACCCGAGTATAAAAAATACATTTTTACTGACAATGTCAGCCTGCCCTTTACTTATAAAAATATCAGTCTGCCATTTACATAAAGGAGTTATACCTCCATAATGTCTGAACAATGGCTTGTGATGTAATCCAAAGTGGAAGACAGCACTTTGGATGCAAAGTAAGCACTATAAATTATTGAGCTGCCATAAAAAAACCCCCAAAACAGTTGGAGAAAATTTCCAAATCTCATTAATTTCCTATGCAATAAGAGGCATCATTCTGTATTTGTATTTAGAAGAAACAGGAGAAAGTGTGAAAAATATATGAATTTAGTTTTACGATGGCATTTCTGATAAACTTTCTTAAGAATGCAAGAAGACCCAGCTGGATGAGGCCATCTGGTCCTGCATCCTGTTCTCACAGTGGCCAATCAGAAGCCTGCAGGAAACCCACAAGTAGGACCCAAGCACAAGAGCACTCGGCCCTCCTGCAGTTTCCAGCAACTTGTATTCAGAAGCATTATTACATCTGACCAGGCAGGAAGAGCATAGTCATCATGGCTAGTACCTGTTGATAGCCTCCTCTTCCATGAGTTTCTCTAATTCTCTTTTCAAGTCATCTAACTTTTGCATTTAATGTTGCACAATATGCTGCCTTAACATGGACTCCACATAGCTGTGCATATGCATGTAAGGATAAGAATTAGGATACAGATAATCTCTGTCATGCAAAACGGTATCCATTCCTCACCCCTTTTAAGTTAATAGGGGAACTCACATGGATTTTAATGAAGGAATCAAGATTGCATCCAAGGCCTCACATATCCTGGGCTGGCTTGGGGGCATATAAATTGCCCCTTCCTCTGAGTTCTCTTCACATGGTCCCAATCCTGATGTAGCACAACTTCCCACCCCATCCAGTGCATGGATGTGCACTGGGCAATGATATCTCTATACATGAGCAGGCTTTCATGTGTTCTGGAACCCCAGTTGTGCAGGTTTCCACCAGAAAGGCTTTATGCCTAAGCTTTCAGTATGCAGGTTTCCCTTATGCAGAGGAAAATAGAACAGTGGCTTGCATACAATGGTTGATCTAACTTTTGCCAACCCTCTGCACCTTTAAACTGATTGCAGCCCTCTATATCATATCCTATATTATTTCAGAGGGTCCCTCTGTGTGGATGTCACAGAGGGGCCAGGAAACTGCACAACACCAGGAGTGGGGCCAACAGCACAAGCCTACTGATGTTTATCTGTGTGGATCCCCCTACACATGAATAAAATGTGAAAGGACTTTGGGCTGGATGGAAAAGTGGATTTCAGCACTTCAGAATACTTCTAATCAAGAGTTAATTTCCCTCCCTTGTCCTCAAACACTCTTTGTTTCTCCTTTTCAGTGTTTCCTTCTTCAAGCTTTTAAGTCCAATGTTGAGAGTGATTAATGAGGGCAAAGATTACTATGAATGTAAAGTTCAAGAGTAAGGATGCTTATTTCTTTAAGAAGGTTGTTTTTGAAGTGTTTTTCTATATATTCAGCCCCATGGTTGGACTGAAATACTACAGCACAGTCACTGGCCTATATGAATATTGTTTTGACAGGAAAGAATGCTTACAAACTGCAGAGCCAACTAATCAAAAGGTTCATGTTCTCAAAAGTAATTCCACATTTAGATAAACCATGCTCATAGTCCCGACTGCGGGGAGGGTGGTGGGGTGTGTACAATTTTGTAGCCAGATTTAGATAGCAATGGGTGAGAAGCCCCAGAGGAATTTGCTTTGATTGCTGCTTTTAAATGTTTAGCAAAGTGACCAAGATGCTCTTCGTGTTCTGCATATTTTCCATACTTTTTGTGATACGTATTTCCTTCAAAAGTCACACTCTTCGCGATGTGCTAATTAGATTCGCCTTTAAATGTGAACTGAAACAAATTTCTTCCCCGTCCCTAACAACAGAACACAAGTTCTAAGAATAATGTAATATAGCATACACTGAGGAAATATATTTGGGAACCTTAAAGTAGTGATGAGTGGGACCGGCAACAAAATGTGTGAAGTGTGAAGTGCTCCTTGTTAGTGTTTCAGTCATCCAGTTATACCCTCAGCCATGATATGTTAATCTGTTCCCCTTTCCACTAAGTTTTGCTTTCTTTCTTCCTAATGGCCAATCAGTGTTTCATGGCCACTGTATGTGCACGGTCCTCATTGTGCTATTTGGGGGGTTTTCACCCATTAGGCTTCTTTTCCTAAAGATCTTTTCTACTTTTGCAAACCTTGAGCTTCCCTGCCCCAAGCCCACTGAAACCTCCTTCTTGGAAACAGATACTGTCATTTTGGCTACATAGTACTCACCTCTGAAAATTGGAAATAGTGGGAATGATATGATATGTGGTCCACCTCTGGCTCACCTCGCCCTGCTTCCATCAAGCTCAAAGGTGTGTTTTTTTTAAGCATTCTTGTTGGTTAAGGCTTAATTGGTTGAAACATGCTCCCACTTTCTGCCCCACCCCTTTGTCTTCCTTGAGCAAAATTGGCCTTACCTTGAGGAAGGGGTTGTAAATGGGGGGGGGCACAGATAGGATGGTGATAGAAGGTAGGGTATGAGTACCATTTTGAGTTGGGCCTAGCTCAAAGTGGACTGAGACTAAGTCAGAATGAGGCCGGCTTATTTTGTGCCATGAGGAGATCAGTTTCCAAGCTTCTACTAACCAAGGGCTCACACCATCACTGTGATTAGTAACAGAGTCGTAAGCTACATTGCGTTGCGTTAAGCTGCCCCTGCCCAAATATTCGCCTTGTAATTCTGCAGCAATCCTTCTAGAAATGAATATAAAGTGATTCTTCACTTTCTTTTCTAGCAACTCAGTTCTCCACAGCGAATGCATTTACTTTGTGAAAATAATTGTTTAGACATAATGGTGTTGTTCTGTTTTCTTTCACTGGAAAACAGTTGTAATTGAAAATAAATTGTTATTCATCATTTCTGTATCCCCTCACATAATATATTGTTTCCTCTATTCTTTTCCAAACAGGCTAATTTAAATCAGGTTCCCTTCCCCATTTCAGTGCTTATTCAAATCACTGTCAGTGATTAGCTAAGGAAAGATTGTTTGGATGCTTCCAAATATAACTCTTTCTTCTTCTTCTTCTTCTTTTTTAAAAAGTTAAAATTCTTGTTCTTTTAATGGGTTGGTTGCAAGATTTCTTCAAAATTATAGCAGTTGCTTCCTGTTTTCAAAGGCTATCCCAAACCAGACGTGGAGACAGGCTAGCAAAACAAGATGCCTGTATTGGGCTAAGCAATAATAGTTTTGTCCGACTGCAGGTGTCACAATGATTAGACACCCACCCACAGACAGCAAAGCAGGAGGCAGTTTCATTCAACCCTAAAGGGAGCTTATTGACCAGAGTTCATGCATCTGAGCTCATAAGGTCAGATTATACAAAAGAAGCCAAAGCTGCACAAGGAAGGCTGATAAACACCTTTCTTGCTTGATATTGTTCACTATAACCATAAGAAAAGCAAAATACAAGTTTTTTTTTGTTTTGTTTTGTTTTAATGAGAGCTTTAATTTAAAAGTGATTGGGTTGTACCAGGTCAGTGCACATGTGCTTTTACAAAATAGGCACCCAATTTTTGCTCCCCTCCCTTGCAAGCTGCCCATAAGAGCCGAGGGACCCTCTGAAATAATATAGAATATGATATAGAGGGCTGCAATGGGTTTGAGGGTGCAGAGGGTTGGCAAAAGTTAGATCAACCATTGTATGCAAGCCACTGTTCTATTTTCCTCAACATGCACGTGCACGTGCACACACGCAGCTTTTCCGTGTCTTTCTTGGATAATATGATTGGATAGCCAATGTAGTGCTTTCCTGATTTCATTGGACTATAAGGCCCATCAGCCCTAGTCAACATAGCCAACACTCAGTGCTGGTAGGAGTTTTAGTCCAATAACATGGACTTTTGTACTTTCTAAATGTTCTGATGCAGTTCTCAGCTCAATGTATACACAAATACACAGTGAAGTGCATTTAAAAGTGAGTAATATTTTGAGAAGAAATATATAGACATGCCCATTTTGGCAGAAAATATGTTTTAAAATACACATTTAAATGTGAATTTTCATATTTCTTTTTAAAAGGTAGGTCAAAGCAGAAATGAGACAGAATGAACACATGCCAAAATAACCTGTTGGGGAACAGATTAATATGCCTATCCCTAGATCCAGATTGAAGGCTGATGAACTGCCATATAGTCAATAATGAAATAATTGTACAGAAATAATAAACAATGGTTTTAGCAAATGCATCTTGAGGAGGGGGCTAGATGTTTACACTTCTCAAAGGACCAACTGCTGTTTGCCAGGTGCACTGTGGAGAGGGTGTGTGGCTTTGAGGGAATCAGTGTTCAGATGCCAAGCTTCAGCAATGATTTTTTTTTTTTTACAATCAACTCCTAAATATAAAGGTTGGTAATGACAGGATTCTCAACTCCAATGATGTCTTGATAATATTTCTACTTATATTGTGCTCTTTATAAATGTATATGAATATTTCTTACTTGTCTTTTTCTGTTTCTATTCTAATGGGGCCCTTGATATTTGCAAAAAGTTGGGTTTTCTTCTGGCTACCAAATCTGTTCAACCATTCTGTTAAAACAGCTCTTGACCCTTCTCTCCCCTTCACATCCAAAATAACCCTCACTGCATTTGATGCAGTACAAGTTCTTTACAATGCAAAAAACAGTTTTTTTTTCATCTTCTTGAAATTAGCAACATTGTGTACTTACTGTTTTTTGGGTGGGAAACCCTTTAAAAAGCCAATTTAAGCCTTAAAGGCAGCTTGTGGCAGCTGCCCTTACAGGTTTTGACAATTTAGTCCACTCCAAATAAACAGAGGAAAAGAAGAAACGTGTTTATTTAAGAACACTTGCTACACCAACAGCTTGTGTCAACCTACTGATGAAAGTTCCCAAGGAAAGTGATTGCATAATTGTGATGGGGATTGACAGGGACTTCCTAGCCTTCCATTAAAGTCTCAAAGCATGGTGGCTCTACTAGCAGAACATGCTTACACTCATGCAAGATGGTCTCAAACATGCCTGGGACCATTTATCATTTTGACAGATATTGTCAATAGCCTGTGCAGGCCACTTGAAGGCATATGGAGTGAAACTTGGGTTTTTTGTGTGTGATATGATGGATTGGGCACATAATGTCCTCATTGTCTGAAATATTTACCATGAAGGGTTTTTTTCTTTTTCTTTGCAGTGAAGCCTCAAAGTTCAAGGCAGCTGTGAACTTACTTATACATATAGGCAGTGGCCATTTTTGGAGCATCCGATATGTGCATGACCACATGTTTGCAGGGTTTTTCAATGGGTGTTCCTAGGGCACTGTGTTTATTGGCTTTACTGTGGTTGCTGTTTTCGGAGTCGAGAAGGAATTTGCCTGAAAACAGATTGGCCCTGTTTGTAGGTTTTGCTTTCCCCATAGCAATAGTCACAAATCTGGTGAATTGGGTGGAATACTTCTACTTTAAAATCAGGCGGCGTGGGGTGGCGTGGGGGTGGGTGAAGTGGTTCATCCCCCCACCTCTGAACAGTGTGCTAACAGGGTACACCATTAGAGGGGTCTCACTGGAATTCTTTGCCCCAAAGCCAAGGTATCCGGCCGATGGGCCATAGAGCTTCCTTCAGAGGCTTGGATGGGTCATCTGTGTAGACCTGTGTCTTGCAGAGGAGCCATTAATCCTGGGATGAACCCTGTCATGTGAGAGTGCTCCACCAGCAGGGCTGTGAGAGATATATACCCAGTACCTAAGCCAAGTCCAACCAACATCTGGAATCAATAAAGTTGTGGCCAATTTTAATCCCAGAACATTGTCCTGCCCAGTTTGTTCTCCTTCACAGGCGGGGGCCTTGCTTCTGAGGGAGGGGACACTGAGAGTGGGTCTGCAATGGGCCCAAGTCCCTCACCCACTATCAAATACTACCCTCTCCACCTCTCAACCCTGGAAGGCTCCAGTTACAGAAGGTACTGTATACTTTCACTGGGTGGGGTGGAGTTATAAAACTACTTCAGTAACTCCCAACCACAGATTCTTACCATAAACAATATTGAACAACCCTGACAAATAACCAATGTCAATATTAGTAGCAACTAGAAATAGGCACAGATAGATATGATAGCAGATGCAAAACAAACACTAACCTTGCTCCAGTGGTGTCCCCAAAGATATTTCATTATTCATGCACTTAAAAATCTTCTGTTTCCACTAAACTGAAATCTCATTTATTTAGTAAAGATGATGCATATTGAGCTACCTGTTTTGTTATAAATGACAATCGCTCAGTCATCAGTTGTATCATGATATAGAATGGTTTTTCAGAAAATGTTGGCATGCAGAATGCTGTGACATTTGGCCATTACTTTCTGACACACCATTATGGGTTATTCTATAAATTGGTTATAGTTTCTCTCAGTTGTTCTCTCTTTTATATATTTGTATTATCTCTGGATTGTTATTGTATGTTTTCCCATTAAAGCCAAATACAGTATGTGGGAGTGAAGGATTTGGCAGAGTGGTCCAGTTCTATATGGTGCCGTGCTTACCTGAAGGCACTTGAGATGTTAGCTTCCTCCTCTAGAGACACACTAGAACTTGATTTCTTGGCTTGCTTTTGTGTTTTTGTGCGCACACGAAGTGTGTATGCATGTGTGCACCTTAGCATGTTTAGGACACAAAAGCATTTCCAGATGAATGGATAATGTCCAAATGTTTGCTTTTTGACAGTTAGCATTGAAAACAAGGAGGGATTTTTTTTTTGTCACGGTCAGTCTACTTTAATTATTATTTACCAAAAAGCTACAACAGTATTTGCTTTCCAACAAATCACAACCTTGTGATAACCAGTGGAGCCTGAGGATACCAAGGTTCATCATTCTATTCTAGCACCTTTGTGAAATGTATAGGGTGAATCTTTAGCTATTTCACACCCTTTCAGGATTGCTGTGCTGCTATTTTGTTGTTGTTAAGAAAGAAAATCCAAATGGCTCACAAATTAAAAGAAAACATTAAAAACAATAACATGCAATAAAACAATATTAAAATATGCAAGCTAAACAGCATGGAGACTACAAAATGGAAGAACCCAATAGGGGGATGCAAAGCACCAACCCTCTCTCCGCAAAGCCTTTTCAAGCAAAAGTGTCTTAATATAATGACATAAAGGCAGGTGTGAAGGGGCCACATAGACATCCCAGGGGAGGCGCAGGTGAGATAACAATTGCAATGCATTCTCTGCTCAGAAAAAATTCAATAGAAAGGAATAAAAATGGTAATAAGACCAAGTGTTTTAATACAGTACCTTTACTAATAGTTTCAAAATTCCAGATGGCCATTATAGCCCATTACCTGTTGATAGGCTAAGGAAGCAAATCTCATCATGAGCTCACTTCCTTCCGTGGGCATTGTTTCGTACAAAAATAAATCTGCATGTGCCCATACAAATGTTCTTGCAAAGTCTGGCAAGTAAGTGTTAACAGGATAACTTTTGGAATGTCTCCTTACTTTAAAAAACAAAGTGCAATAATTTGTGAGTAGTGGCCAACTAGTTCTTACTGCACCAAGGCAAACTATTGGAACCAGCATGGGCTGTGGAATCTGAATGGCTATATATCTGGTGTTGGTGGAAAGAAAAGAGAGTGCTTACTTTATGGTCACCAGTGGCAGGCTGCAGAAAGTGACCCATGCTTGGCTCATAATCTTTGGGAGTACTCGTGTGACCCTCCCCATGATATTTTGAGTCTGTATGGACTCCCCCAGATGATCTGATTATGGGGCATTCATCTTTATATTGCTTGCACAAAACTTATGTGGCTATTTTACAATACTGGCTCTTTACTGAGAATTCGTTTGGGTTTGTTCACAGGGAAGTTAGAGAACAATGACCATCCATCTTGATTTGCATGGGAGGAGATTGTCAAAGAAAAGGAACTTGTGTTGAGGTGGTGAGTCAGACCAAGGGATCCAGGCCCTTCAGGGGAAATGGCAATCTAGCCTTCCCTGGACAACACAGGCAGTTGCTTCTTAGACCGTGAGGCAGATGTTACCAAGGCCGAAATGTTCCATATTGGTTGGGATAAACTCAGACTCGCCTCCTAATGTGGAGCACTCATAAAAATATGAAACTCAGCAATAATTCCCCAAAAGAGAATTGGTTTGTTGACATTTTCTAATGTTTTCAATGAACTTCTTTCTGTAGCATCTTATGCTGTTTTAATAGAGCTAATATAAAAAGAGGGGGGTGCACTACATTTAATATGTAATGCACACATACTGAAGAAATAGAAGCAGATGGCCAACAATTGCAATCAAAAAGAAATTAAGATGGTTGTCAAAACATTGTGCAAATGAGTGATCTTTTCTGGGCAAGCATACAAGAGGAAAATCTATTTAGACAAGCAATGCTTCTTAAAAATGGCTATAACATGAGGCCCTAAAAGCCAGCCACTTTATAGCGTTCTTCTAATTTTGCACCTTTTTTCTGTCCTTTTTTCTTCTTACACTTGGCATAATCTGCACCATACACCACATGATTTTTCTCACCCCATTTAAATCTCAGTTTAACACATATAGCACCAAAATGAAGCCACTCCCTACAACCATAGGACATGCATGCCAAGGCCTACCTATTTTCATGTGGATAAACAGGATTCAGTACAGAGTTTTGTTTTAAATCAACACCTTCAGACATGGTATAATGTAAGAATCAGCAACCATAGAGCATAATGTCCCATAAATGCCTTATTTATTGTGCAGGGATTTCTTGCAGATTTACAGGAGGTCACCTTTTTTCTGATGGGAGCTGCATTTCCTCAGGGACATTCTGTTGGGGACTGCATATTGGAAGTGAGCAGAACAGGAGCCCCAAGTGGGTGGGGCCTGAACCAAATATGGGTGGTGCCATTCCCTTTTATTTATTTCTGCCACTCCTTTGTTTTCCACTCTTTCTCTTTCTGCTAGCCACTTTTCCCTTCCTCCTCCTCCTTGCCAGACCTATGGCTCACTAAAACTGTGATAAGGGTTATGTGTTGTCTACCTGTCACCTACAGCATCAATCAAAGTGCCCTCTAAGTTCAGTGGATCTTATTCCACTCCTAAGCAAGTTTCCACAGGATTTCATGACCACAGGAAGTAGCCTTGTACTAAGTCAGACCATTGGCCCATCTCACTTAGTACTGTCTACATTGACTGGTAGTGGCTTTCCAGGTTTCAGACAAGAGCCTACTGGGAGAGGCTGTATAATTGATAGACGAGAAATGCTTGAGAGGAGCACAGTTGCTCTTGGAATCCTAGCTCCAGGTTCTCGAAAGGTCCATTACCAAACTGGATATGGAACATAAACCAGTTTCCATAGTAGTAGTTAGCAGTGTTTCAGCCAACAAGTCAAGGAGAGAAGAGATCAAATAAGCACCACATCTAGCATAAGGCTTACGTATTGGTCCTAGGAACCAGGCAAACAAAATCAAGTGGCATTTGTTCTTCAAAAACACAAAATGCCAACAGACAAAAGCAATCCCACAAGTCTAGGAATTAAGGAACAGCTTGTCCTCTATGCAACGCCTGTATTTTGCTTCCAGACATTTGTGAACATCTTTGAGGAAGTGCCAAATATTCCGGAAGTGGAGGAGTTATAGTCATCTCTGAAATATTGTGGGGAAAATAGGGGGGAGGGGAGGTGACTCTGGCTCAGATGAACAGGGAAAAACAGCTTTGTGGCAGGTCACTCTGGCTCTCGTTGACCTTGGCCCAGTTGCAAGAGTCATATTTCAGATACATTAGCTGCCCTTGAACAATTTCTCTAGTGTCTTATAGGTACAAACATCTTTTCTTCTGCATGAAATGTGCTGGTCTGTTTCTTCTTTCCTTCTCTACCTCTCCATCCTCTGCCAAGATAATCCAGAGAATAATTCATGCTCCACTCACTGGATTTTCATTTCTGAGGACTCAGGAGAATTTAGAAAGGGTTTTATTCTCTCTTGTAGGAAAGTAAATGAAACATAAGACAATGGGTTGATGTTTATACCTTCTATCTGAGTTCCTAAGGAAGATGGCTGTCATTAACACACAATAATAGCTCAGTGGTCAAACATCTGCTTTGCATGCAGAAGGTCCCTGGTCCACTACCATATCCAGGTAGGGCTGGGAATGTTCCCTGGCTGAAACCCTGTAGACAATACTGAGATAGATGGACCAATGGTCTGTCTCACTATAAGGCAATATCAGATGTTCCTATGTTACTACGGCATCACAAAATGTGTTGGGAATTCCCATATGTACACAATACTTCAGGGAGAAGAGAGAATTAATGCAATTTTACTCCCCTTCTCTGACAGGAGTGTTCTGTGAGTAGAATTCCACTTACAGGACATCTGGATTCAACACAAACACACTTTAAAGATTTATGTCCCACAAAAAGTTCTGTGCCTCCCTTACCAGGCTTTGAGGTGGTGCCCCTTCAGCTCAGCACCCAGGGTGTGACTTTTGAGCCAAAGAGTGGTGTATACATAAATAAAAGCAATAACACCAACAACAATGTAATGAACAAATTTCAAGAAAAAATATAGTTACTGATGGAAAAAAGAAAACGCACATGAAATCTGCATGGCCAAGTCAACTTTATTTGCAGAATTCTAATTTGGGTCCAGTAGGTAGCTAATTTTAACCTGCCGGAGGTTAGTTATTTTGATTTCTCCCCCCTCCTAAAATACCAAAAAGGATTAAGCTGTAACATGGATTAAGCACTTGTCAAGAATAATTTTGTTAAGTGAAACAGTATGTATGAGGACTAGATGGCTCAGTGCTCTGGTGATGGGATAGCTTTCTAGGTCAGCAGTTCACAAATGTCCTAGTTCAGCTGCAAATCAAGTTAATCAGTACATTTTAAAAAGTCCCCTGCCCAGTGGTGTAAGTTGAATGAATTAGAGACCACAGTAATGTTGCTAGCAGAATCCCCACATAAATGTCTATCTGCCAAATGACCAGTTTCTTTTTTCTAGATAGATAGTAGAGATCAGACAGAACTTTTTTGCTTTTTAATAAGTCTTTATGTGCCCCTATCTGGCATTCATTAAAAGTGCATTATGGGAAAATCTCCTCTGCTGCTAGATATGCCATGTGGTTCTGTGGCTGGGATCCTAAGAACTGTGCATGTACACTGCTATAAGTTTGCCTCCTCATTTTCCTGCAGCTGCTTCCACTGCAGAAGAGGCAAGGGGTTTTTCAAACGGAAAAGTGGCTTGTCGCTTTGGCAATGGTAACTGCTGCAGAAAAACCAGAAAGCAGATTTTTAGTTGTGCCTGTGGTTCTCTTCCAGGCACACACACCCTTCCGATGGATAATGTACATTTGGTATTGATATCATTCTAATTCCGAGATGAGAAATCTTTCTCAATGCAATTTAACATCAAGAGGAAAAGTGAAGCTGGATTTAAGGAAGCAAATTCAGATTCAAAGAAAAGCTGAACCTCTAGCCTTAACGAAAGCCTGCTGGGCAGTATCATGTTTCCTATGCTGAATCTCAACCAAAGATTATACACTGTTGGATAAAATGTGAATTTTGTTTTGCTGTTGCTGGTTTTTTTATTTATTAAACAAACAAACAAACAAACAAACAAACAAACAAACATTTGTGTCATTCTGGGTACATGGAACTCCCCTGGCCAAAACAGCTTTCCATCCATATCAGTGGAGGTAGCCATTATATATATGCATTCCTCTGTGAAGGTAGATGGACTTCTTCTGTTGACATGAACCAGGTTTTCTGCACACATAAAATATTAGTGCACTATGTGCATGTAAGTTTACTTATAAGTTTATATGCATATACCGTATTGGCCTGAATATAAACTGCACCTTTAAAATTGGAGGGGGGAAAAGGAAAAAAGGAAAAAAGACCTGAATATAAGCCGCTCCATTCCTCACTGCTCCCGGCTGCATACTGGGGGGGGAGGGAGCTGTGCTGGGTTGCCAGCGGCCTTTCCCATTCCTTGCTCTCTCCCTTCCTGGCCTTGGGGGAGAGGATGGGGGACTATGTGTGGGGTGGACACCACTTTGCTGCGCTTCTGGCATTGTTTGCCCTGCGCTCCTGGCTGCATACCGTAAGGTCACAAATATAAGCTGCACTTTAACTTTTCACAGTCAGAATTTGGGGGGAAAGTAAGGCTTCTATTCAGACCAATACGGTAAGTGCGTATAAGTTTACATGCCTTTTGGGATTGGGAACTCTGATTCCTACATCCAAAAAGAAAGGGGGGGGGGGAGAAACCACATCAGTTTCCTGCAACTGAGAAAAAGAAACAGAAATACAATTTAGCCGTTTGTACAAATCTAACTACTTGGAAATTGCAAGGCTTAGCACAGCTTCTCCTTTAGAGCCATCTTCTGCCAGTAAAGCATGGGCATTAGAAGCCAGGGTCTGTTTTCTTGAAGAATTATTCATATCTCATTACATTTAATAGACAACATGCTTGCAAAATCCTAGTCTTACTAGGAAAGGTATACATCAGATGTTCCTTCTCCATTCACATCGCTGCTGCATTACAGTGAGGCATAAAAAGGCAGACACTGTTTCAATATCAGGAATTGGGAAAGTGGTCCATGGATTTTAATGAACAGGGCTACACACACACAAAGAGAGAGAGAGAGAGAGAGAGAGAGAGAGAGAGAGAGAGAGAGAGAGAGAGTCCTTGGATCTGGCTGAACTTCTCCTGGCACTGCAATTATTTAAAACAGGCAATTGCTCTCAAAGGCCAGGTGTTGGCAACTCTATACAGGCGGGAATATTGTACTGGAATCAATGCATTCCTTGAAAGTGGAACTGGTGATGAGATGCAACCTCAGCTGAACTTGAACTAAGCAGGGAGAAGCCAGATTAATTCGGGTATTGTCATTTTATATACGAAGCTCACACACCTCAAAGCCGTCGCGAGACAATAGTAACAGTAAACAAACCATAATGAATTCATTGCCGAGTGGCTAAACCCAGCTTTTAATAGCATTGTTAAAGCTCCAGTCTCAGACACTGTGAAGAGCTTTGTTGCTTCGTTCCCATGTTTCTAGGGGGATTTCCAGCTTTACTTTACCAAGAGTGATCCTGACAGCTTACTGTAATTGCTTTGAATGTATGGCACAGTGAAGCTACTTGCTACAAAACCTGATGCTTCTTGCAGAAACAGGTTATTTGCGTGAGTGCAACAAGTGTCTCCTTTCCTCCTTGAAAGAAGATTGAAGAGTGCCACAGGGGGGCACTCTTATGAACAGATGTAGGGCATCTTTCAGGTGTGCTCCTTACCTGCGAACCAATCACATAGCACTTCAATGCATTTAGGTAGCAAAAGGGATGTACTGCCTGTACTATATGCCTTAATTTGGTGATTGGATTTTGGATAGGCTTTTTTTTTTAAGGAAAATTAAAAAGATTAGGGTTTGACTCTCTGGTAGAGCTGCAGAAAATGCGTCATTGGAAAGGCAAAGCTCTTTCGGCTGTTCATCCCAAAGGGCAATGTCTGAGCTGTCCCCTGAGTCTGAGGCTGCCCCAGAGGTTTGATAGAACTCATCAAGGCTGAACAGTCAGTGCTTTGCAAAAGTTTATCTGTCATGTGATTCCAAATAATCCTTGAGTCTTGAGGGCTAATTGCAGGAAATGGCTTTTTGGCAGAGTTTTGGAATTCTTCCCTCACCCCCCAAACTACTAATCTAAGCTTTAGCTGGAAGTTTTTCCTTCCACCCCCTTAACACACTTTGCATTATTAAATGTGGTAGGTAATATATCAAGGAGGAAAGAAATAGGGTAGAAACCGGGATCTGCAGCCAGGTTCTAATTAGATGGATTTTATGTGTTTGCATTGTGCAGATTTGAAAAGAGCATTTGTCTAACAGGAACTTATGGACCTACTTAAACTGCAATGGTGAAAAATAGAGGTGTGTGCCAATGCTGTTGAAATGTAGTTCTGTTTCTGAAGAGTGGGCAGAGCTAGGTTGGTTGACTTGCTTGAGCCACTCTGATAGAAAGTTTAATCCCTTCCCTTATGATTAGGAACAATCATGTTCATAGTCTACTGGCTGCCCTGCCCTGATGTCATAGTGGGGCTAGGCAGGGAGAAATCATTGGCTCATCAGCTCTGATCTCACAGCAGGGCTAGGCAGCTAAGTGCTGAGGCATCATTTCATTGCTTAAGCACATGAACTACTTAAAAACAACATGTATTTGGGGAGGGGGCATAGCCTAGTGACATGCTTTGCGTGTAGAGGGACCCAGGTTCAATCCTTGACATCATCACATAAAAGAGTTAGCAGGTACTTTGTGAGTCAGACTAGACAACACTGGGCTAAATGGACAAGTAGTCTGCCATGGCTCAAAGCAGTTTCCTATGTATTGTCCTCAGGCTGTGGGCTTCTTGAACTATTGGTTCAAATTGTTCAAGCATTGGTGCAAATTGTTCAAGCAGTATAATGAACAGCTATTGGCCATATATGCAAGCAGCAAGCGATGTCTGTCTGTGATTGCCAGTGTAGGTTTTTCAGGGATCCATCTTGTATGATCCACACACAAAATCAGAGTTGCGAAGATGAGTAACATTTGAAAATAACCAATCCTTTATTCAACACCATGTTATAATGCGGTTGCAGACATTTGATGCTGAAATTAAAATAGTAGTGACCAGCTAAGTTTCCACTATTTTTAATGTAATACATTTATATACCTGTTTTCTATTTTCAGAGCACTCTGATTGGCTTATGTTAGTAAAAATGGCAATGCAACAATGGTCACAGTAAATGTATTTATGTACCATATTTTGTATAAATATATTTGTGCTCAAAGTGGTTCACAAAAAATTAAAACTGTCTAAATGCAGTACTGCAGAAACAATATGTAATAGAAAGTATAATATCATTGCTATTAACCCTGCAACAATTAACAGTTCATTTAACATACATCCATATTTAAGTGAGCATAGAGATTGCCAATAAATCAAGTAATATATATATATATATATATATATATATATATATATATATATATATATTCACATTCAAAAGTAGCCCCAAAGCTAATGTCATTAGTTCCCAGCACACATATAGACACTGTTGTCATTTATCTTCAACCCCAAAGGCAAGAATGCTCCTTCTGAGCTCATCTGGAACTAGCTCCCTTACAAAGGCTTCAGAGTGGAGCAAGGCAGGTGGAAACAGGTGGACTCAGAAATGTTGTAACTTCATTTTAAAAGAGAGCATTGATGGAGCCAACTGGATTTAAATCAGGAGGCTGCTCCAGAGTGGTAGCGCCACCACTGAGGAGTCCCTGTTGTTCACGTAAAATGAGCACTGTCTCCAAGTAGAATAATAGAATTCTAGAGTTGGAAGGAATGCTGAGGGTCATTTTGTCCAATCCTCTGCAATGCATGACAGGAGACCATCTAACCTCTGGTTCAAAGCCTTCCTAATGTTCAGTTGGCATCTCCTTTCTTGTTACTTGAATTGGTTCAGGCCCTACATTCTGGTGCAGGAGAAAACAAGCTTGCTCCATCTTCCACGTGACAGCCCTTTAGATATTTGAATGTATTTTAATATTCTGTTGGAAGCTGCCCAGAGTGGCTGGGGAAACCCTATCAGATGGGTGGGGTATAAATATGATGATGATGATGGCTATCATATCTCCTAGTAAGAGCCTAAAGTCCAGGCAGATCCTTCTCCTACATTGCATTTCAGGGGGTTGGACTAGATTACACTTGAGATCCCTTCCTCCCTTCCAGCTCTATGGCTGCTAAAGTCTGGTTGTTGGGTGTTTGGAAAGTGCTGCACTAGGGACTCTGACAGGTGTCAATCACATGTTGTCATCAGAAGATTGGCAGATATATTATGTCTCAACTACCTGTCAAAATTGGCCCATTGGGGTGGAAGATATAAAGATCTCCACTCTTGCACTACAAAGATGTTACGATCAAGTTAAAACTCATTGCTGATTTTAGGAGATAAAAGTTGCAATGGATCCCCCCTCCCCCGCAATATTACACAGAGCTTTGATAAAAAGGATTATCTCTGCCTGGTTCATCTAGGGAGGCATGAAGATCCTATGGGTGTGTTTGAGAAATGGAATAGTTTGGGATAATGCAGTTGCTTTCAGATCCTTGATCAGCACAAACCTTGCTGAAAGTATACAGTGGCCGCTCTTGCTTAAGATGGATAGAGTTCATTGCTGGGTATCAGAAACTGGGCTTCTTGTCCATAAATTTGTAAGAAATTAGGAATCGCACAGGATTTCTGAAGTGGGGAATATGAAAAAATGAAAAGTGTAGAACACTCTACTATAAAGAGCTTGGGATCACATCTTTTTAGCTGACATATATGAAGATAGAGCTTTGCAGCACATTACTTGCACTTGCAGAAAAGAGTGATCTCAGAGTATGCCAGTGTGCCGTCAAGACTTCAAATGACCAGGCAACATCATGTGATCTTTGCATGGTTTTGAAAAACATGGTTTACTTTACTGTGGTGGGTAAGGGCTGCAGCTCAGGGGCAGAGTATTTGCTTTCTATGCAGAAGGTCCTAGCTTCAATCCCTGGCATCTCATCAGAGAGCTGCTGCCAGTCAGTGAATGCAATACTGAACTGGATGGACATATCAGGTAGTTTTCCCTTGTTCCTATTAGCTCTGAATCATGGTGCATCTGAAGACAAGACGTTTTCAAAAAAACGTCAGTGGAGTCCTAATGTGGTTTCCTATTTTGTCTACTTTTCCTTTAAGTCATCTTGTTTGCTTAGTCATTTCACTTGTCTATGTGTGTGAGCGCAAGTACTTCTTCTTGACTCGCTTTGTCTGTCTCCTTGATTCTTGGAGTCAGCCAGCAACACGACAGGACTTGCTTGTTTACATAGCTCGGAGGGCTATGACAACATATCAGAATGTACAGGTGCCATGCAGTGATGCAGGATCCAATTATGATCAGCCAAACAGACAGTTTAACAGGGAATTTCTTAGCATTCAAACTCTTGCATCTCTCATTATGCTCAGTGTAATAACCTGCTTACTTTGTGCCTTTTGTCTCTTTCAAATGAATACTTTTTTTGCCTATTTTGTTGAAAAAAAACAAATGCGAAACAGTTGTGTTAATTGAGGAGAGAGAGAAAAAAATAAAATTCATAAAACATGTGGTTAAGTGCAATTTCCTCATAATTGCAGCAAATGTGCTGCCAAGGCAATTGCAAAACACGTTTGTTTTGGTTTGGCCCATTCAGGGGCATTTCAGCCCAGCCTTGTTAACATCAGAAGTGGCCCTGGAAGGTATTGTTCAAATTCAGACGTGATTGAAGAATCCAGTAACACTTGTGACATAGACCCATTGTGAAAATTTCTGTCTGCGCAGTATGTGCAGCTTCTAAGTAAGAATCAAAACAATTTTTCAGCTGGCAGCTTTATATGAAACAGGTGCAAGCAGATGGGATGGAGGAGGTGAACTGCTTATATAATAAGGAGATTAAGAATAAGAGTACAAGTGTTTTGATTTGGTAGGGAACAAAATGTGCTTTTTATTGGTATAACTATAGCATGTTTAAGTATCAAATAGCATTTTATTCTTACAGCAATTGATTCTCACAAAAGATAGGTTCAGCTGAGCTATAGAAAGCAGTCTGAATTGCTATCAGCCTGAACTGGCAAGTGGGGGGGGGGGTTAGGGTGCCAGGGCTATGTCTGCCGACACCACCCCCTCCAAAACCTATTCTGTTTATCACAAATATCTGAAACAGGCTTCTAAACACATTGGGCTGAAGCCTTCCAGCTGTAGGGAACCCTGTGCTATTACAACATTGGAAGTGGTATGTGTGCCCCCAGCCCCCTTCCCACTCTTTGCCCTAGTGAGCTCAGGGTTCACCTGTGAGCTTCAGTGTCAAAGAGGGTTTTGAAGCTGGGAATGGCATCTAAGGGCTTCTTCAGACTGGCAGATTTCTGTGACTGTATTCTGCAACATGTTATAGATGCTAGGGTTGCTATATGTCTGGTAATTCCTGGACATGTCCTCTTTTGGGGGTCCTACATGCCCATCCAGGGGAAATTTTACATTTGAAAGCAAATGTCCTGGATTTCGGTTTTATTTTTATTTTTCTGTGTTTGCGCGCGGACAGTTCTGGTTCAGGCTCTGGGTCTGGCACAGGTGACCTGGCTCTGACATGGGTGGCTCAGGTCTGGCGGCGGAGGGGCTATCGGGTGATTGATGCAATAATTGTGTGTTAGTAGCGGCTTTGTACTGCACCGTCCACACATCATTCCACTTCATTAGTTCTGTAAAGCTTTCCCAACATCACCCCATCACTGACATCTGGAGGGACAATTTTGTGCAATAGCTTGACAAAAGCGTGACAAAACAACAAGACTCAGGACATTGGTGGGATAAAAAGCTTCAGGATTTCAGCAGGAAGCTACAGGACATGCACCAATTGGAAACAAAGCAGCCTCAAAACTTTTGCAGGAGTAAACAGTATTAAAAACACAACAGCGTCTAACTGCCACACAAATGATCATGAATGCACAATACAAGGGATGTCTAGGGGCAGGGGCAAAGGAAGACTAACTGTCCCCTGGTGTGGGGTGTCGGGGGCGGGTCAAACCGTCTGGCGCCACATGCGTGTGCGCCGCATGTACGGCTCATGCTCACACGCCGTATGTAGCGGTGGCGTGCATGTGCCGCTGGATGGTTTGCTGACAGCGCTGGGATCTTCTGTTCATGGCTGCAGCGGCGGCAGAGGGATCGTCTGCATAGCTGTCAACTGTCTCCCTTTTTTAAAAGGGAAATTCCCTTATTTCGAATAGGTTTCCTCGCAAGAAAAGGGAAAAGTTGACAGCTATGATCCTCTGCACGTAGCTGCGGCGGCGCATTGGTGGCTGCTTGTGCCACCGCACCGGGGGTCGGCAGGGCAATCCTCCCACGGGATGCCTACTTGTCACCCCCCTCAGAGATGGCACCTGGGGCGAAGCGCCCCCCCGCCCCTTCCTCTGCCACTGTCTAGGGTGCCCCTTAGTGCAGCATCCTAACTACTTTGCTACTGAGATGCAGTCTTGTGGCCAAGGAGAGGAAAAGTAAAGATGGATTAAAATGTGTAAGTGTCTTACTCCACATTGCTTAATTTTGTCCCACCCTGTTTTTGCCTGACTTCTGGTTGTGCATGTTTGATGTGAGATTCTTAACCACTTCATATCAGCTGTTGGAAGGAGCGAAATTTTATTCCTGAAATTGATTAAATACACATACACTGAAGAATAGCTTCAGTGACAGAACGGTCCCCCCCCCCTCTCTCTCACACACACCAGTATTTGCAGCAGCAGGTTCCAGGTTCCAAAAGTGTGTGTGAAAGAAAAACAAGTGTCTTCATAGGAAGTGCAAAAAGAAGGGGTGGGGGAAGAGGCTGAACAAACTGTAACATCATGAGGGGATTTTTACTCCAGGAAAGCACATGAAGAAGTTGCGTTGGGTGACATGCATGACCTCAATCTCCTCCCAGCTTGCTAAGACGTTTTATCAGGACATAGCATTCTAAACATTCAGCAGCTTTCAGATAGTAACGACTCAGCCGCATTTCAAATCATCTGACCCTTTTATTGAAATAAAATATAAAATAAAAAGCCTGACTGTTACTCATACCAGCAAGGGCAGGTACTGAAAAAATGTGTGCAGGTCAGTGCCTGTCTCAAGGTGCTGCTGAGCTTGAGCAATAATACGCAAGACGAATTTGGCTACTTCAGTCTTTTTTTCAGGTAGGTGGTGGCAAACTTGTTCCTGAGTACACTCAGTGCTGAGCAAAAAAATAAAAGAAAGAAAGAAGTGAACGAGTCTCTTGCAAGCTGGATTTCTCCTCCTGATCCACTCTGTCTTCTATGTTTGTGTATGTATATTCGCGTGCATATGTGTGTATCTGCTACAGTAATTTATATAGCTGCCGCTTTTGAACCCCATTGGACATCGTTGCAAGATCTGTCACCACTCTGAATCAGGTAGCTAACAGGGAACAGTTTATTACTTTGCTGATAGGTGTCATTAATAAAACTGCACTTGTTAGTCTCTGCAGGCCAAAACTGGATATGACTTCCCCACCCCTGCCCCATTTAACCACGCAGTTTTTAAAACACAAAAAACCACCAACTGAGAGAACTGATAAATGATCAGGGTTCCACAAAGTTTGGAGGCAAGGGGAGGGATTTGTTTAACCCTTTTCTGCCCTGCTGCATTTGAGGAAAATCCCTGCCCTGAAGCCACTCTTTGTTCTGTGGGGTGGAAAATCTCCTCTTGAAGGTAATATGGAATTTCCTCTCAAATGTATGCAGCATCTTCCAAGGAGGAATTTTCCTAAGGACAGTAGTGGGGGAGAAAAGGGCGAGATAAATCTCACATTCATGCCTGCTGCAAACCTGATAATCAGCCACTCCCAGCTGATTCTGCTTGTATTTTTTTTTTTTTTAAATACATTTTCAGTGAGTGAAAAGCCTCTAGTTTGGCCATAGCTCTGACACAGCAATGCATTCTGCATATTTTTATGCCCTTTGGTAGTTTTCTGTCATTTATAAAATTTCAGCAGAACTTCCTTCCTGCTAAAGATGGGGTGGGGTGGGGATAACTAAGCTTCTAACATGCTCTGAGGCACCAATATGGGGTGTACAGCAGGTGCATTTTTTAACTGTTTGCTTCCCCTTTCTTCCTCCACCTGTTGTGGGGCAAACCTACTGGTCACATTTTATTTTCATACCAAATCTGTAATGTCAGTTCAGCTATGGATGGATGGATCAGTCCTGGTCTGGTCTGTGACAATTTCACATGTGCGCATTCATAAATCAGTTCTTCACCTGCTACACTCAGACCCTCCAAGTGTCCCTATTTTCCAGGGACAGTCCTGGATTTACAGAAGCTGTCCCAGTTTCTGATTTGATTCCGGAATGTCCCGCTTTTCCTTAGGATGTCCCTATTTTCATTAGAGAAATGTTGGAGGGTATGGAATAGGACCTCCAGAGCACACTTGGGTGGTACATGGTCAGAAGAGAGGAAAGGGAAGTCCCATTGCCTGAGTGGGTCTCTGTGCGCACGGCATTGGAAGCAGCCCATTGTATGGGATTATCTGTGTGGTAAAGGTAAAGGGACCCCTGACCATTAGGTCCAGTAGTGGCCGACTCTGGGGTTGCGGTGCTCATCTCGCTTTATTGGCTGAGGGAGCCGGCGTACAGCTTCCGGGTCATGTGGCTAAGCCGCTTCTGGCGAACCAGAGCAGCGCACAGAAATGCCATTTACCTTCCCGCCGGAGCAGTACCTATTTATCTACTTGCACTTTGGCATGCTTTTGAACTGCTAGGTTGGCAGGAGCTCATCCTGTCGCGGGGATTTGAACCGCTGACCTTCTGATCAGCACGTCCTAGGCTCTGTGGTTTAACCCACAGCACCACGTGTGAACCATCTGTGTGGTAGTTACATATTAAGAAAAGCAGTAACATTTGTGTAAAATAAATAAATAAATAAATAAATAACACTTGGAGCTTGCATCTGTGTGAAGATCAAGCAGAATCTTTTCTTCCTGCCTTTAAGTTATGCTGTGATG